CCCGATTGTGTGGGGGGTAGTAGTACTACAGTAGCGCTATCGTAGTAAAATTTGTACTGGTAACTACTAATGTTGTTTCTCAACTACTTATAGTGGTAGTAGTGACTATGAATCTGGGTTCAATAGTAGTAACTGTATTACTACTACTGTAGCCTAAATTCCGACTACTACCGAACTCTGATTGTGAGCGGGTCGGAAATATCAAAGCCGTCGTCAACTTGGGCTCGGGCCACCGCCGATGCAGCGCCTCCAAGTGCGAAGTGTTTTCTGTGTTTTCTGCTTGGACGACGTAACCAAAACTCAGAAGAAATATAGTTACGCTTCAATACCGTCTCTTTCGCTCTAGCTGTATTTCTTTCTGTGACTGGTATGATCTTACGTGAAAACACTACGCGGCGGCAGTACAGGTGCCATTTAATTAATTTTAACTTGCATTCCCAACCCGAGCGTAAACGCGACGTATCAGAAAAGTATCTCCCCCTAGGTCGCTCCTTCAATAATCCATACTTAGCAAAAAATGCATACAGCGGGAGAGCCAGTCGTATGGTAGAGAAGAAGCCTCCCCTCTCTTCTCGTTCAGTCATACCGCAGTTTTGTATCGCCTTCCCGGACCTCTGCGCGCTTTGCCGCTTAGCCGGCATGTCGGGGGCGCTACCGGCCGATGCGGCCAATGCCAACGAGCTGCAGCAAGCTGTGGTGAACGTGATGACGCGACACGCTAGCACAAGACCGCAAAACACGATAAAGCAGTAGAAGAACAAGCAGGATGACTTTGCCAGCTGGTGCGCCGACAGGAAGTTCTTTGATGGTTCACTGGTGTACGAGTCGAAGCTAGTAGACTATATCGATAATTTTGTGGTACCCCGAGGAAACCTGCGCAAGAAAAACGACGATGGAAGTGCCGTCCGACTCGGATATGAGGCGGTGGACGCGTACGTCAAGGCTATAATCGATTTGTATCAGTTTCAGAAGTCTATTGGTATGAATCAGCACTCCCACCCGCGTGGCAAGGCTTTAAAAGGCTTGATGGACATGCTGAAGCGTGGAGAGAACAAGCGGAAGGTGGATACATACGCTGACCGTGGTTTAGGAACCGTTTTAGACGGCTACAACCTGGAAGATATGCGAGCGCTAAGCCAATTCTGGCTCAAGCAGCCTACAGGGGTTGCTTTACGAAGTCGAGTGGACTTTCTAGTTGGACACGCTCTTCTAGCTCGCGGAGAATCGCGAAGCTTTATTCAGTTTCCAGATATGCTGTCGCTAGAGCTAACCGACGAAGGCCCCCAAATATGCAGCCCTCTCGTGGTCATTATGAGAAAAGGCAAATCAAATCAAGTCGGGCGGGTAGAGTATGGAGCTGCGATGCGATGCAAAGATGTTATGTTGTGCCCGTTAAATGCTGTGGCATTGTACCTGTTTTGGCGGTGGCATGTGGATTTGGAGCCCTTTCCTAGCTTTACGGACCGAAAGTTGTGGTACGACATCCGTTTGCTGAAAGGCAAATGTGCAACACGTGATATTGCCTACAATACGCAACTAGAACACGTGAAGAGTGCGTTCATTGCCTGCGGCATTGATTCATCGGTTTGGACACACGCCAACAGCGGTTCAGGCGCTAAGTTGGCTGAGCTACAAGGTGCGGATGAAAACCAGATTAGACGGGCTGGTAGATGGAATGGAGAACGAATGGAGGCATGCTACCTGACTACACTTCCTCGAAAAGCTATGCGCGCTTTGGCTGGTTTCCCTACGAAAGGGGGTGGTTATTGGATTGACCGTGCCACAATCACACCATCACCAGATCTCCAGAAAATGGTTTTCCCTGATTTAGGCTCCGCTGAAGACGATCTTCAGGAAAATGGAAACCGGGAGATAGCGGCAGGCGGGTTTATAGGGTTGCTACACGTATTGAGAGTTGTGTTTCTCCAGGACTCGGTACTACTACGTCGAAAGTTCCCGGAGCACTAGACCCGCTTTTTAGTACAGAGGCTTACGAGAAGTTTGAAACAGAGGTCGCGATATCTTTGCAATCGACTACCCAGCCTCAGGATACACGCATCGAAGCTGCAATTCCGTTAGTTGCATCAACAATGAAAGACGGATTCCATGCACTTCACCGGAAAATCGACAGTCTTGTTAGTGAAGTTCGACAGCTGAAAGAACAAGGATTATTTTCTGCGAACAAGAAACTTGTAATCTCATTGGCAGATGACGTTGATGCTCCCCATCGACGTGGTGTTGTCGCCGCTCGTGAGCCATTGGACTCCCAGGCAATCGGTGAGCGCTCAACAAGATCTGAATTGCGTCTAAGTCGCTCGCTGCAGACAGTGAATGAAGTGTGGACTGAATATACTCGTGGAATAGCTGGTCAAATGTCCGTCTGCGAGGCTGAGCAACGATTTGGAAGCAAGTGGCGAAAAGATCCGACAGAGAATCGGTTCTTCTCATGTCGTAAGGCATTCTACGATGCGATCCAGGCATTTGCTGCAAAACATCAGATAACCGAAGGGGCAGCTGCTGGAGAGCTGGAGAAGAAGCGCAAAGAGGCGGGAGAATCTCTCAATCGATTCGGAAAGATCGTACGTAGAGCCGTTCAGAATTCGTAAGGCAAGTGAGAGCTTCTAACTCACTGTAACACACATACATACAAAATCCATATACATCCTGTATTGCAGAATAACTCGACCTACTTGCAGTATAACTCGACCTACTTGCAGTATAACTCGACCTACTTGCAGTATAGCTCGACCTACTTGCAGTATAAGTCAACCTACTTGCAGGATAACTCGACCTACTTGCAGTATAAGTCAACCTACTTGCAGGATAACTCGACCTACTTGCAGTATAAGCCGACCGGCTTGAGGGTTTAGCCATCAATCGTACTTTATAAGTTTACTGGCTTAAAATTTTGGTCGACAGATTGTAAACAAAGCCACGAAATCGACACCGCTCATTCGACTCCCCTCATTTGGAAAAATACACGGCCTCGCGCACAATGGAGAAGGAGAGACGGCGCCTTAACCAAGTGCGAAGGTCAGCAAGCTCAAGGAGTGGAGAGATAACCCTAAGTGGACTGCGAAGGTGGCTGCAAAGCAGCTTGGTGTAGCGAAGGGGGCGTTGATGGGCTGGAAGAAGGCGCTGTGGCATCTGCTGGACGATCCTGCTGCTTTGGAAGCCCTTGGAGATGCATTTCGCAAGAAGGGGGCCGGCAAGAAGAAGCGCCTTAAGCCCTACGAGTTACGCGTCCTTAAGTTCTATGATTCGTGTCACGAGGATGGCGGCACGTGCACCTTCTCCGAGCTTCTAAGCTACGCGAGAAATAATATCCCTGAGTTCGCAATACTGAAGAAGGGAACGCAAGAGTCGTGGATATCACGTTTTATCAGCAATTATAAGAATAAACCCGTCGGCCAGCCAAGCCAAACGGGACAGCAAAGCCAGGTCGGGTAGCCAAGTGGGGGTGTGGCGTCAAGTGAGGACGACGAGCCAAGTGAAGACGACGAGGCAAGTGAAGACGACGAGGAAAGTGAATACGACAGGGCAAGTGAAGACGAACAGGCAAGTGAAGACGACGAGGCAAGTGAAGACGAAAATGGCCCCAGTGAAGACTCAAGCAACGATAAATCCGCCGAGCCATCCGCGAACGAACCCGTAAATAAGGGTTCGGGTGCCACAAAAAATTTGCACGGGAATTCCGGAAATAACGACGTTGAAAACGGGTCTGATATCAGCGAGGAGGACGTTGGCGATGCGGCTATCGAAGAGAGCCAAGAACAAGTTAAACCCCAGTCAGGCAATAAACCGAAAGGCACGGCACGTCCCCAAAGGATCGCTAAAAGAAAAAATCGGGACGAGCCAATTATGACTGTGGTGCACCAGCTTGCAGGAAACAAGCACGGTGAAATTATTCGAATTCCGCTGTACCAAGAAGACTTGGACAGTTTATTGCCCGGGGAATGGCTGACGACTCGCGTGGTAGATTGCCTCATTTACAAGCACATGATTAAGGTGGACGGATTGGCTTTACCGCTTGGGACCTCGTTCTATCTGGAGATCCAAAACGCGTATCGCCGTAAAAGAGATGGTGAAGATGTTCCAGATGAAGTGACCGGTAGCTTTGACTGGGCGGCACACAAGTTTGTGTGACTGCCTATTAGTGGTGCAGATCACTACAGCTTCGTCATCATTGAGAATCCGCTGAAACCTGCTGGAACGATCTGCTACCACATCAACTCGCTACGCGGTTATCACAACTCGGCGTCTGTTTTGGATACGCTGATGTGATTTTTAGCTCGCGAGGCGAAACGATGTGGCAGAGAAACCAGTGTGGCGCCACAACTGTTAGCGTACAAGACAAGCCCTCTTCAATCGAATTCATTGGACTGCGGGGTGTACATGTTACACTACATGCACAAAGTAGCCCGGTTCATCTCTGAAAAAAGACCAGACTCAGTAGCGGAGAAGATGAAATCACTTACAAGCGGCAGCTTCAATGTGACTAAGGCAGGACGCTCGCGCTCGGCACTACTCGAAGCACTACAAAAGGATAAGGTTGCAGTAACTGTGATTGAATAAACTCCGTCAGTTTTTTTCTTTGCCAACCGCGTATCTGCCCTACGTTTGATCCTATGGTCGAGTTAATCTGCAATAGAGAGGAGGTCGAGTAATTATGCAAGTTGTGGTCGACTTATCTGCAACGGAGAGAGGTCGAGTTAATATGCAAGGCGTCGTTCCCTCATATTTCGAATATGTCCCAGGGGTCCGACCTTATACAAAGCCTAGTATAAGACCGGGTCCGGATGAAAAGGCAGATACGGCCACAGTAATTCATAACAAAAACACCAAAAGTGTTACAGCACCGTATTTCCTCAGATTGACACCACTATCCATACAGATTTGAAGGAGGCCATGTGGGTTTCGATGCAACAACAGCCTTGGTTTAGTGACAGTGAGTCACTGTCAGTGACCAGCCGCGCTGCGCTTGGTTGGGCGCCCCTTCGGCGCCCCCGCGGTTCGCTTCGCTCGCGATTTATAGATTGTATGTTCTACCGAGAGCGGTGCTCGGCTCGCTGGAATTCTCGTCGCTGGGCCCGCCTCCCCAAATACCGCGCGGCCCTGCTTCGCGGGCACCCCGCGCGGGTTTGCTGCGGCTACGCTCCTCACAACCGCTCACCTCCGTTGATCGACCACTGACTGACTCAGCCCCGTCTCTCGAAACGGTGTTTTTGCTGTGCTGCACGCGAAAACGGACGGTTTTTTTTGTATTTACTCCGGATGGACTCGTACCCCTAACCGGGGTACAGATTCCGCCCACAAAGTGACAAGTGTGGACCTTCCAAGCTCTTAAGAGGGAATGCAAGAAATTGGGCTTCATCAAATGTATAGGTACATTTAGTATAAATTGCTTGTACCTCTGCTACGAGATGTACATAACCGAACGAATTTAGAAGGATATTAGCTGTAAGTGCAGTTCAGTTTGTGGGGGAAGTCTGTACATGCCCACTACGGGGACCTGAGTAATTCGACTCGCGTTACAGCACCTTTAATGCGACCGCACAACATCTGCCTAAGGCGCCTTTAAGCCCTACGGCGCCTTTAAGTCAAAAAGAGGGGGTGAATCTGGGGTGCTGCAGTGTACTGGAGCAGATCCCCGCAATTAGAAAACTAGCACCGAGTTGCGGCAACGGGTCCATCCGCTGGAATGCCTGGTGCAGGACCTACCTCCGCAAAATCGCGCAGACCTGCTTTACGAGCACTCCGCGCAGGTTTTCTTGCTGTGGCAACGTGTACTCACAACAGCTCACAACACAACCAGATGAGCCCATGACACCCGTCCCGCTGCTATCCGTCAATACAAATCCCTTATTATTCTGATCTGTGTAAAGATTTGCTTCTGTACACAGACTTTGCACAGATTGCTAGGGCGCCCTTAACTTTACGGAAAGCGAAGTAGTTATCACGACTTTAATCAGATTACCATCACTCTTGAGATCGCAGAGGGGGTGAATGAATCCTTGACGATTCACTAAACAACTATCTTCGTTCAATCATGCCTGCAAGCTCTGAACACCGTTCAAACGCATAGGGCCTATAGGGGTGGCCTAGATCGATTCATCGAGCCCAAACATGCCTCTAGAGCTTTCATATTGCCAAAACTACGCGCGTTCCTTTTGACTTTAACGGCCGTTTTGGGGATTTGGCTCTCGTGACATCGCTCCTCCCGAAGTTGCTGCCCAGACGACTTAAGGATCTTGGGATTTGATTGCATATTCAGGGTCTTTGGAGTTGCAACATTAGGGTGTCTAAAGCGACTTTAAGGTCACTTAAAGTCGTTTTAGCCACAGTCATGTCACAACTTAAAGTTACTTTAACGGGATTCCCATTAAAGTGTAGGAGGGATGACCTCCAGGCCTGATGGCTTTGGAAATGAGCAACATGAAGGAGTCCCTGAGGAGGCGGGGGTCCTGCTAAGTGCCTACTTACACTCCACCGATGCAAGCTAGTGCGTTCAATAGCTCTAACATACCTCTATGAAGTAGGCAGTACCAAAAGTTTGTCCAGATGCAGGCTTACATGCTGCGTAGACTCAAAGTTAGCACCCGTTTCGGACTTTGGAAAGCTGAGGCAACAGTCTATATATTTCCCTCCTACCTGAAAACCAGCTGCTTTACTAATGGCGCCTTGGGCGCCATTAACGGTGCTGTTGTGCTGTCGCACTAGGGGAGCGCCAGTGGTATAAACGCTGGTGATGGTACAGAATTCGGCCCGAATAAGGAACGGGTGTACAACTAATAGCCTCACATATTTAATATTATTTTCCAGTCGATGTGGCGATAGGGGGATGTGCAAGGTACTGCAAGGTACTGAGGTACTAAGGTGAAAAATCCAGTGCCCCTCGTTTGAAAAATGGCACGCATTTAGCGATCTTACTAGACTTCAAACTACATGTACCGTAGTGGTAGACTCGCACTTTTGCTTTTGCACCTCGCCCCACAAGCCCACACTCCACTCATGAAGTCCACACCGTCCAAGCGTCTCCGTCTCACTTGGTCTGAGAAAGTGGGCATCCTCGACAAGGTGAAGGGCTAGATAATCCCTACGAGGTCGACCAGTTGACAGCGCTGTTGTGGTGCGAGGATGCCTGGTCAAAGGTTAGTGCTTCGACCATACGCCACTGTGGACTCGTAGGTAAAGCTGCTCTTCAGTTCATTTTGAAATAACTAAATCAGTACATTGGAAAAGCATACTCAACTTAACATCAATTTATATATTCTGCGTCTTTATATATATCAGGCGTTCCTTACTCGGGCAGATTACTGTACCGGTGCTAATTGGCAATTAGTATTGTGGAAACCGATTAGATTGTCCGAGCGGATTAGCTGATAAAGCAGCGTTCATGAGAGATTTGACTGGTACTAAATCGGGGATCCTTATAATTGCATACGTCATTGGTAAGGGTATAAATCAGTGTAGCGTTGGTAAAATAGGGATTGCCTCATTACCCGCCAACAATACGCGGAACGACCACTTACCACCACGAGCTGACTGTTTCGCGCTCCTACTAACGAGCAATAGCATCGCGTGCATTAAATACTTCTCTGTGAGCAGTCGACGTGTACTGCTATCTATTTATCAAGTTGTGAAGCTATATATTTGCGCTGTCATTTCTCGTCAGCATTAGCGTTTGTCGGTTTTACCTTAAATCTGCCGCCGAATGCCGAGTGGGTGTCGGACATTCGGGCTGATTAGCATGCAAATCAGTCGTCCAGAGCTTTGTAAGCCACTGAGCAGCTAAATCAGCTTGCCACATGGCGTTGTAGGCACAACAGACTGCTCTGTCAAATCAGAGTGCAAAGCTTAGGCTGTCGATCTAATTAGGAGGTCGGATTTAGTAAATCCGACCCGATTAAGCTTAATCATCTGCTTAACCAACCGATTTATATTCCAATTAGACAATGTAATCGGTTCCCACAATAATTGCCAGGATAAGGGAGAACTGTGGCCCGCGTGCCGCAGTTCACTTTCTGAAGCTGGTGCATGGGTCTGTTGACGTGCATTTCCTGCCTCAGTCTTTCTTGCTGAAAGTTGCTGTTGAACCTGTTCGGTCGACATCCTTCTGGCTGGTGTAGCACGAAGGTTGCGCCAGGTTACGCTTACGCGTCCAATTAACCCGTTGGGAGCTGTCCACCCCCTCATTCTTCGGGTGTTCCCAGTATTAAAGGTGCTCTAACCACCTCGGAGTAATTCTAGCATAAAATAAACACGCTCGACACTTTGAGCAGGACACAACACCACCACAAACGATGGTCATCCAAGTTCGCGTAGCAGGCTTGAAACCTCTTGAGAGTGGAGGCTACATGTACGCCAACTTGGATGACCATCGTTTGTTACAAACTGCGAGTCGCAGAATTTGATCAGTTTGAGATTGCTCGTCGCTTTGCTTTTGGGATCCACGGAACTCTAGGTAAATACAGTTCGTAAGCATCATGTTGTTTGACGCGGTTGAGACCGCAGTGCGAATCATTTCGAGCGGCGCTTGAAGTTGACCAACAAAATTTCGTACCTAAATGAACATCACAAATTGAAAGTGAAAATCACACATAGAAAGCGAAAAGTACTTCAATTCAATTGGTTTTAGAGCTTTCCGATAATGAAAAATATTGAGGTCCCATGCACATTATAAAATCCGGGGGTCTGGAAATGGAGATATTTTTTCAGACTGGTGCCACCCCTCGAGTTCTCAACATTCTGAAGAGTTCAACAGCCTTAAAGAAGCACAGGACAGAGTGATTTCGATTTATGCGGTTGAATCGCGATTCGTACAGGATTTTAAGCATCATTTTGTTGACACGGTCTGACGTGTAAGCTCATATTATGAGCTTACATGAACTCTGTTACAGCATGCATTGTATTGTAGAAGGTGACGTACACCATCGCCTTGCTAATATTGTACCATATTCAGCGACCGAGGAAGTGCCTTGCTTCAAGTCCTGCATCAAGACAGAAGCAGACAGAAGTTCGAGATAAATAGCAAACGAAAAGTACGAAGGAATTCTGAGATGCTGACCCGAGCGTTGGCATCTTGATCGACGTGAAGTTCAGCATGATGACTCTAGAGTGTGATCAAGCAGCCGAAGTCTTTCAGTTTAAGGTTAGATAAGTACTCGGTACCGTCCTGCGACCACCTACATGTAGTAGCGGCGCTTACACGCCACCGGCACCATAGACAACAGATTCTGCTGAACAGAATGTTCACTGGGCAGTCACACTCAATGGGGGCACACTGCAACTCCAGCCCTCTTCTCGATCGTGCTGTTACGACTGGATTTGTTCCTCAAATTCGAATTTGCTCGCCGAGATCGAAGCGGTGCTGATTCAACCAGCATAAACATTCATAAACATCGACGCAAAAATTTTCCGCAGGACAGCACCGAGGCGGATATGGATTGGTCTCTATCCAAATCAAGCGTCACTCTTCATGGTGGATCAAAAAATTTCCGCAGGACAGCACCGAGGCGGATATGGATTGGTCTCTATCCAAATCAAGCGTCACTCTTCATGGTGGATCTACAGCTAAGCCTTACTTTGTCCCAACTTGCCAGCCTTGAGCTCCTGCAGCTTGCGCAAGTACTGCTTGCACTTCGCCTGCTCTTCCTTATACTCCTGCGTCCGGCGCTGCTTGATGGCCTCTAGCTCCTCGGACAGAATTAAGGCCACGTTTTCCTGCAGGTCTAGTGACCACGCCTTCCTGCGCGAGTGTGTAGTCAGTTGGGGCATAATGTCCTGGTTCTCGTCGCGAGAAAGTCTGGCCACGACGTCGTGCAGGAATTCCCACAGATTCAATGGTGCCTCCTCAACACCGTCACTGCCAGGCAGGTGAGCCATGTCCACGATCGTCAGGAAGAAGGCTCCAAGTTCCGTCTCCAACTCCGTTGGCGCGGTCTGTTCCGGCCCTGGCATCATCACCGCGAGCAAAGGTTTCTGCGTGAAAAACTGCTGCACGAGCTCCAGGAACTCCAGCGTCTCTGCGTCCTCCGGCTCCGTCTCAAAGCCCAGCTTGCGCGCCACCTCCACGTTCTGCTTTACCTGCGCGGCAGCGTTGATTCGCGCACGCAGGCGGCTCACAAACGTCCAGCGCGTCGCCGACTGGAACGGTGGACCACGAACCGATGCACCAGGCGCCAAGACATCCACAGGCGGAAACACGCGATTGCGCGCCAGCGTAGACTCCAACCCAATGTAGTCGTCCACGAGCGACGTCACGCGCTCCTGGAACTCGGACGGGATCTCCAAGCTGTCCGGCGCGTCCACCAGCACGAACGACGTGAGCGATGGGCCTTCCTCCTTCTTGGATGCCCCCTTGAACTGCGCTGAGCGCTCCATCAGCACCGCATGTGCGCTGAGACTAAGCTGGGCAGCGCGCGGCAGCTTCAGCGACTGCACAAGTCCCTCCACGACCGTCGTGTGCGCGGCCAAGTCGTCGTACAAGACAACGCTGCGCCGGGACCGACCGTTGTACATGAGGAACTCGGCGACCGCACACCCCGTGAACGGCGCCAAATACTGCAGCACGGGCGAGTCGCGGTCGGTGGACGCGACGATGGTGGTGTGCTCCAACGCGCCCGTGACCTTGAGCGCGTCGCGGATCTGGTGGATGCGCGCGGCGCTCTTGCCCACGCAGACGTAGACGAACTGCGGAGGCAGCTCTCCACGGGCCTTGGCCCTCGCCACCTGGTGCGCGATGACGTCCAGCGCCACGCGTGTCTTGCCCGAGTTCCTGGGGCCCAGCACGCCGAAGCGGTGGCCGTGGGCCATGGGGTGCAGGCAGTCCACGGCCAGCAGCCCCGTCTCGAAGGGCGAGCGCAGCGGGGCGCGGGCCATGAGGCCAGGCACGCTCTGCGCGCCCCACGTGACCTTGACGCGGTCGTTGGCCGCGTGCTGCTGGGTGGCGCTCTCCTGTTCACCTTCCTCTCCTTCCTCCTCCTGCAGCTGCACGGGGCGGCCGAGCGGGTCCACGACGGCGCCCGCGAAGGCCGCGACGCTGCCGGGGATCTCGAGCTGCTCGCGCTGCAGCTGCACGTCCATGCCCTTGGCCACGGCGCGCGCCTGGCCGCTGGCGTGCAGCAGCGCCACGTGCACCACCTTCCTCTCCATGAAGAGCACCAGACCGGCGCACAGCGACTGGCCGGCGGCGTCCGACATGTCCACGACGCTGCCGATGGTGGCGTGGCGCAGACCGGACACGCGCGCCAGGCCGTTCTGCACGCCCATGACCACGCCGCGCACGGGCAGCTCGGCCTGCACGGCGGAGAGCGACGCGCGGTCGTCGGCTTCGGCGTCGGCGCTGGCTTCTTCCTCCTCCTCCGCGAGCTTCATGAAGTCCAGCATCTGCTGCGCTAGCGCCGCCTCCGAGTCGTCCGCGGCGTTGCGGCGGCCCGCCGAGGCGGCGCAGGACGCGTGGAAGCTGCGCGGGGCAGCCAACGAGCTGCCGCTGACGAGGCTGTTGCTGCTGGTGGCGCACACGCGCTGCGCCAGGCGCGCGCGCACCACGCGCGACACGGCCACTTGGCCGCGACGAGCCCCGTGCATTATCTGTTGTTGTTGATACCGAGCTTTGATAGCGGTGCGGTGGAGATACGAGTACCAACTTGTTGGTACATGATGACACACCACTCTTACACAAGGTCTTTGGGGAACAGCTCTGGATTCCATGTTGCTCTTTTAGCGATTGGGTCGTCCGACGCGGTCCAGACCTGCTGGTAGATACTACGGTGTAGAGGGAGTACCGTCTACAAACGGTACTCCCTCGTCCATCCGGATCCGTAAGCGTCAAAGCCGAAGATAAACAGCCGGCCGCATGTCCATGGGCCAGCTCATCCCAGCCAGCCTCACTTCATTCCGCAATTCTCACTGGTCCGGAAACGATCAAGGAATCATGCGCCTGCTTCATCTCGTGTTGGCCTTCGCGGTCTCGCTGGCTGTTATCAGCAATGGCATCGCAGTCACCACGGCGAAGTCGATCCAAGACCCGGACCCCAGCCACCAGGTACTCACCCGTGAGTTATCAGTCGATGATGCGACTGCAAAGGAGGAGGAGAGAGGAAAACGCGGTGGTGGGGGAGGCGGACGACCGACATCAACCGGGGGGCAAATTCACGGAACCCATACCAGCATCGGACTCATGTACCCGAACGAACTTTCTCGCCGCAAGTACAAGAAGAAATGCAATCGGTTCACGAACTGGTGGAAGAGGCTCTTTGACAAGAGCGTGAAAAAGTGCCCCAAGAAGGGCGAAGGGGACGAGGAGGAAGAAACCCTCACCCGGCGACTTCGGGCTTAAGCTACGAAAGCGACGTGGGGTGATACTCACCTCATGATGCAGTAAATTTACTGATACTGTTCGTCAAAACATTTTGAAGCGACCCAATGCTGCATTTCCTTACCAAGTTTTTTTTTTTTCGCTGAGAGTGGACTCGTACATACTTTCAAGTTTCGTGGTACACAGGTTACTCAAGTACTACTAGCGTCATCTTTAGTCCGCATTGCAGTGCACGTGGTGCAGTGTGGTGAGTGCGAGTGCGCCGATTCCGATCCCGAACATGAGCAGGTGGGCCACGAACTGGCCGGGCGACTTGACACGCAGCACTCCGGGGAGCAGGTCCGTGCCGGCAATGTATACAAGAGTTCCCTGTTCACATGACAACGATTTAACCAGTTAGTGCATAGCAGAATACAACTACAAGACAAGCAGGCAGCAGCGACGCACCGATCCAACGGCGAGTAGCAGTCCCATGGTCTCGTTCGTAACAGGCACAGCCGCGAGCACCACCGCGGCTCCGATAAAGGCCGAGAGCGCGCTCAGGAAGTTGAAGAGGATGGCTTGGAACGGCGTGAAGCCCGACTCAACCAAAATAATAAAGTCGGCGAACTCCTGCGGCAGTTCGTGCAGGATGGCGGAGACCGTGACCGACACGCCGAGCGAGTCGTCGCACGCCAGGAACGCAGTGGCGATAAGCACACCGTCCACGAAGTTGTGGAACAGGTCGCCGAGCAGGATAATGCAGGCCATGGGCTTGATGCTGCGCCAGTCCACTTTCAGGCTGAAGGTTGAGACGCCCGTCGTCTCCCGCAGCGAGGGTGTGAGCGTGTTATCCGCCGTGTAGTTGCCAGTCTCAGGAGTTCCCGACTGTTTCTCAGCGGCATCAGCGAGCGCATCGGTAGGCGACGGTTGTTGCATGGAAGTCGGGAGGTGGTGCGAGTGTGACGCTCCGTCTTGCACCATGCTGATCCAGAGCTCGAGGGCCATCTCCACGACCATGGCGACGACGAACCCGACTGTGAACATCATGCTCAGCGTGAGGTCCATCTGGCCGTACTCGCTGTAGAACTCGATGGACTCGGGTAGCACGTGGAGGAAGGCGGCACCAAACAGCGCGCCGGCGGAGAGCGCGATCATGGCGTCCATTACTTTCGTCAGCACCTTGACGCGGACGGCCATGAGCAGGATGCCGACGATCGAGAGGATCGCAACGATCGCCACGGCGGCCATGGTCTTGACCCACACCGCAGCCGACGCCTTCCTGTTCGAGCTGGAGCCTTCCTCTTCCGCTTCTTCCTCCTCCGCGATGGCCAACGCCAGCGCCACCTCTCGGGTGTTGGCGTCCAGGACTTGCATACCGAACTCCTCGATCGCGTTGTGCTGCATGTGGAAGGCGTAGTACCCCGTCTCATTCACCACCAAGTTGACAGTCATAGGCTCCGTCGCGAGCCGTCGACGACCATGCGCGCCGGGGCCGTCGCAGTGGTCGATGTGCCACGTGTTGTTTGGGTTGGCCTCACACTCGGCCTGCAGCGCTGCGAGCTCCTCCGCGTTGTTGCGCTGTACCACGTACAGTAGCTGGTCGGTCGGTGCCATGTCGCGAGACGCCTTGACAAGGTTGCGGGGCAGCGACACGTCGTCTAGCAGGAGCGAGGCCTGCTCCGCAGACAGCTCGAGGTCTGCTTGCGTGACGTTGGCGGTCACTGCGACGTCCATCGGCAGCACGAACACGGCCATGTTCTCCGTGTTGTTGGCGAAGGAGATCGTGTAGGTCCCGTTCTCGAGGGCCATGGCCATGGACAGCTCCCACGAGATGCCTCCAGCAGGACATGAGGCCGTCGCCCCCGTAGCGACACACTCGGTGCCTTCGCTCGTGTACCCAGCCTCGCAGTGGCAGTGGTTGCCGTGCAGTGCTCCGTGGCCGCTGCATTCCTCCTGCGCCGCAATGGGCAACAGGATCGCAAGCGAGACCAGCAGCAGAGCGGCGAGAGTTCGAAGCGGAGACGGCATTCGTGCTGAGTTGCAGTCAATCCGGGAAATGGCTGGGAGCAGGCGGTCCGTCGGTCGAATGAATGAAGTGGGTGAGGATTTTACTGTACGAAGACGGCATTGTCCGACGACGGCGGCAAGGGAACGCGTCGCGATGCGCGGATGGATGTGTGTGCGTTCGACGCACTGCAGTGACTGGATGCGGGCGTGTGGAGAGTTGTCCAGAGACGAAAAAGGCAACTTGAACTCGGGCGCAATTAACCAATCAGATGACAGGATATTTGACTAAATTACGCGATTTTAATCAGACTCGATACAGATCTCCACTCTTATTAAAATAAATAACTAATATTTCTATATATATACTAAGATCCTTTACAAATGTCAAGCTAAACTTAGGAGATATTGCAATAAAAAAGTGGTATAACGGCTTCTCCGACGACGGCGAATCTCGATCTCGTCTCGCTGTGCGCAATGCGCGCGATGCGATGGCCATCAAAGTTCCGCGGGATTCGCTCACCAGTTTCCAATTTTCCCTCAAGTCCCCAAGCTCCAGAGCCGACACATCGCTGCAATGAAGTCGACGACTGCCGCCGTGATCGCGCTGGGTGCCCTCGCCACTGTGGTGCCCGCCTGTGCCCAAGAATCTCACTCGCACTCGCACTCGCACTCGTCGGAGTGCACCGCTGAGTTCCTGACGTCGGCGAAGAGCGCGTGCGACTCGGTCGCGGACGTCTCTCAGCTCAAATGCGACGACGAAGGCTGCCACGAGGCTCTGCACTCGCTCGTGGAGGACGAGGTCCGCCAGTGCTACGTCGACCTCGGTCTCGGCCCGGCCACCGACCTCGACTACTACGTCCAGCTCGATGAGTTCTGCCACGGGGATGGTGCCGACCCGGCCGACCTAGCGGCGACCTCCAACACGACTGCCAGTTCTAGTGGGTCGGGCGCCGGCGCGGCAACTGTGGGAGACCACGACCATGACCACGATCACCACGACCACGACCATCACGATCATGACCACGACGAGTCCGAGGCATCTGCGTCTGCAAGCGCCGATAGTGCCGCTCCGTCGCTGAGCGCATCGATGGTGGCACTTCAAGTGGTGGCTCTCATCGTTGCGGCGTTGCACCTGTAGGCATTCTCCGTTTGAAGAGGCCCACGTAAGTGTCGACAACAGTCTCTGTCGATACGTTATTAGCAAACTTTCGCGTACAAACGCCTAGGAATCGTTTTGGTACTTAGTAAACCAAATGAAAGCAGTTAGTTTATGAAATCGTGCTTATTTCACTACAATACCTACGTCACTACTCAAACCTATCATTCTCACGCGCCTTGCGGGGCATGGTACCAGCTCGTTAGTTTTCGGGGTTGTAGGCTAGCTCCACCCGTGGCCATTCGCATCAAATACGCCAAGAACCCGAAATACAAGCAGCATGCACCGAGCAGCATACCCAGCCCAGTCGAGCCCAAGGACAAGCCTTCCAGGTTCGTGAAAACCAAGTACAAGTTGATGATGCAGACCAGCCCGCCCAGCAGCCACCCACCCACGACTGTCGCCTTGCTGTTGACAAAGTCGCCCATGATGCCCGGCGAGCTCGTAAAGATCAGGATGGGGAGCAGCGCGAACGGCAGCTGAATGGACTGCAACACGTTCAGCATCTCGTCCATGGTGTCGCTGTCGCCCGGGTTGCGCTGGCTGAGGATTGCCACCGCCATGGCTGGAACCAGCGATACACAGCGCGTCAGCGCCCCGCGCTTCCACGGCGCGATGTGCAGGTTCAAGAAGCCCTCCATGACGAACTGCCCCGCGTACGTGCCCGTCATTGTGGAGCTCTGGCCAGCCGCCAGCAGGCCGATAGCCCAGATGACGTCCGAGTACTCACCCAGCATACCACTGAGCGCCACGCCAGCCTGGGATAAGCCGATCTCTTGGCACATTCCCTCTCCACCGTTTGCAAGGCGACAGGCACCATACACGTCCCCGTCAGCAGCGGCACCAGGAACACAAGCAGTGTTAAGTCCATCGGCCTCGAACGTCGCCGAGCAGTCCGAGGAGAAGAAACCCTTGGCAAAGACAGCCAGCACCGCCAGGTTGATCAGGAACGACACGAACAGCGCGATGGCCGACTCGATGGCGAAATACTTGTTGGCCTCTCGAACCTTGCGCACGTCGTGTCGATTTACTTGTCGGGATTGCACGAGTGCCCAGTGCAAGAAGATATTGTGCGGCATAATGACCGCGCCCACGATCCCCACAGCCTGCGTCACCGCATAACTCTTCACGCGAGGTACGAAGCCACGCGCAACGTCCGCGGACGCAACATCCCCGCGCACCAAGTTGGCGCAAAAGCACACCAACATGATCACAATGAGCGATGCGAAGAACGCCTCGAGCTTGCGGATGCCGTAGCGGTGCAGCAGCAGGAACGTGAACGTGTCGAAGCCCGTGATGAGACAACCAATCCAGAGAGGGAAGCCAAACAGAACTTGGAACGCGATGGACGATCCCAGCACTTCCTGGATATCGCTGCCCACGATCGCGATTTCCGCCATGATCCACAGCGTCAGCGACGCCCATCGGGGATACACGTCCGTGCACACCTCCGCCAAGTTCTTGCCCGTGACCACTCCCAGTCTCGCAGCCAGAACTTGTAGAAAGAAGCCCATGGCTGTTGCACCAAACAGCACCCAAGTGAGCTGGCATCCAGCGTACGCGGCCTGCAGGTCGCTCTCGAGGTTCCCCGGATCCACGTACGCGATGCTCATGAGCCAGCCCGGGCCCGCGTACGCCCACAACGTACGCCAGCTGCATCCAACAATACACAGTCACAAGCACAAGCGTGTCATGTCACCGACCTCAGCGTCAACGCTCTCAAGTATCGCTAGCGACGCACCTGAAGCTGCTGGTCGGCTCGTCGTGCTCCGACGCCTTGATAAAAGCATTGTTGTAGCAAGTGTATCCGGCCACTGGAATGAGCAGGTCGCGCTCGCTCGGCGGCGGCTGAGGCGGCACAATCGATGCAGTCATGGCGCAGTCCTTGAGCCCCTGTGCTCCACCTAAAGTCTTCAAGAATGAAGCGGTGGCGGAAGAGCATTCTGCTGTGGAGTTCTTGTGGTAATGGCAAGGTCTTTGTACGCGTCAAATGCCGCTGCTTCCATGTGACGGTCGTGGGCGCGCATTTCTGCCGGGAATGTTGCCTTTCACCAAGCAAATTGAAGCTGCCCCTCAGACGCGCTGCGATTGGCCCCAATCCTCGCGTTTAACAAAGACAAGTGTAGTTATACACGACTATTACACCATATTACGTACACTCTACACAATACGATTCTCAACCAAGCATATCAAGACAAAATCGAAGCTGTAGCCATGTACGCTGGCGTGGACAAGTACGGCGGCGCATTGGTGGGCGAGGGCCAGCCCGACGGCAGCTCCTCGTCGTCATCTACGCCCGCCTCCGGGCTGTCGCTGGAGGAGGCAATTGAGACCGCCGCCGCCGAGGAGACCGTGGTGGTGGATGTGCCCTACTCGTACCTGGAGGACGAGGACGACCCCAAGTCCGTCGTCTCCGGGGTCTCCAAGGTGCTGCTGTCCGCCCAGTTGAACCCCGAGGCCGGCGGCCTCATGTGGGTGGAGCAGAGCAGCCCCCAAGAGGCCTACAAGAACGTGGTGGCCATGTCCCAGATGACCTCCATGCTGCGCGACCACGACCGCAACAACTGCTACGAGCGCGGCATCAAGCGCGCCATCGCCAAGTTCAAGCAGCAGCGCGGCCGCGCGCCCATCGTGCTGGACATCGGCACGGGCACCGGGCTGTTGTCCATGTTCGCGGCCACCCACGGGGCCGAGCACGTGTACGCGTGCGAGATGTTCGTGCCCATGGCGGAGATCGCCCAGCAGGTGACGCGGGCCAACCACCCGGACAAGATCACGGTCTTCAAGCTGCGGTCGACGGACCTCAAGGTCGCGCCCGAGAAGGCCAGCGACAAGGACCCGAACGCCACGTACCACCTGCCGAGGCGCGCCGACATGCTCGTGTCCGAGCTCTTTGACTCGGTTCTGCTGGGCGAGGCGGTGCTGCCCACGATCCGTCACGCCATGCAGCACCTGCTGACGCCCGACGCGGTCATCGTGCCCGAGCGCGCGACGGTCTTCGCGCAGGTCCTCGAGAGTGAGCCCATTTACCACTTCAACAGCTTCGCCGTGCCGAAGAAGCAGCAGAAGGGAGGAGTTGCTGAAGCCAAGCTGGCCAGAAGTGACACGGCATGGCAGTGTGAGGGCGGCAAGCCCGCGTTGCCGGTGCATTTCCGTGCGCTGGAGAAGGAGTCCAAGGTGCTGACGAAGCCCACGAAGGTGCTGAGCTTCGACTTCACCAAGCCCACGACGGGCTCTGCGGAGTACCAAGAGACGATCGTTGATGTGGTTGAGGCTGGAAAGGTTCAAGCTGTGCTCATGTGGTGGGAGGTGAGCTTCGACGAGGACAACAGCGTCGTTTACTCGACCAAGCCGGGCGCGCAGAACTGGCAGGACCACTGGGTGCAGGTCGTCTTCCCTCTCGTGCAGAACATCCATGCCGAGCCGAACGAGAAGCTCGTGCTGCGTGCTCACCACGACGACATCCGCATCTGGTTCGACGTTGAAGCTGCTCCAGGCAAGGACTCGCCCAAGAAGGCCAAGCGCTCGGTGGTGAGCGAGAAGCCTCCGTGCACCTGCGGAATGCACCTCATCTGCAACGCTGAGCGGATCTCCATGCTCACGGATGCCACGCGTCGCGAGGTCTACAACGCGTCCGTGTCGTCGGCAGTTGCCGCGCTCACGAAGGACGAACCTTTTCGCCCGATTTCATGTCTGGACATCAGTGACGGATCGCTGGGCGCGCTGCTGGCAGCAACACACAAGGAGGTCTCCAGCGTCACTTCCGTCGAGTCCAAGGAGGTCTCGGCACGAATCTTCGATCAAGTTCTGACCTACAACAACGCTAATGCAGATGTATTGAACAGCGGCGTGAAGGGCCTACTACCTGAGCACTTGCAAGGCGAGCCATCGAGCGTGGATCTGCTTGTGGGCGAGCCCTTCTACTACTCAATGCAGAACCTGCCGCTCTGGCAGGCATTTAACTTCTGGCTCCGACGCTCTGCCGTTGACAAGTTGCTGCACCCGAAGGCTCGTGTGCTGCCTGCACGCGCGCGCATTCTAGCCCAAGCCGCACGGTTCGAGAACCTGCACCAATGCTTCGGTGCGGTGGGCAACGTGTCGGGCTACGACCACAGCTGCTTCGACCAGTTCCAGGACGAGTACTACACGCGCAACTTCCCGTTCCCGGCCTACATGTACCCGTACAAATCAGTATCGGACGTGGTGGAGCTGGCAGCGCTGGACTTCATGCAGACGGCGCACACGGTGGCCACCAACGGATCCATTGAGCTCAAGGACGCAGCGGCGAACGCGGTGATCGTCTGGGTCGAGTACACGTTGGACGCTGCCGGGCAGCATGTCGTCGCGACTGGGCCGGCGGTGCGCTACGCGAAGCAGCTCATCCGCTTCCTCCCGCCCGTGTCGGCCGGAGCATCGAAGCGTGCCGTGGCGTCCCGATTCTGCTTCGACTCGCTGGAAGGCACGATCGACCTCAGCTTTGATGCCAACTAGGCGGGCAATAAACGTATTGGTTTGCTACTGGATCCGTGACGCCGGCATTCATTTATTTCTCATGTTGCATTCTGCCGGACCGGAACCATCGCTGGAATTTGCCCATGAACCTACATGTACCTTGAGGGGTTACTATGGAGATGATGAGAGAAGAACGCAGTGGACAAGTTGGAAGTATTGGACAGCGTCTTACACAACCGAAGTACACAAGTGGCCAGCTTTCGGGGGAAGCGTGCAGGGCGATTTCCAGTGTACGCACCCAAGTCTCGTCTGAAGAGCCCCAGTAAACTGCACGAGTACATTACATTGGTGGATTTTACTGTCGACAAGGATGGAGGCTGAAACGATGCTGGATCGCAAGTGCTCGGAGCAGTCGATTGCATGGGTACATGAAGGTGACCATCATGTAAGGAGGGAGGGACCTTCTGAAGGTCCCTCCCTCCTTCCGGTCGCCGGTCGCGGCTCGCTGCAGTGGTGCTGCAGCGTCGAGATCTCCCACCTGGCAAACTCTCACTTCGGATTTTGCAGCGCCAAGACCTCCCACCACTCCCCCTCTACTCAACGTCCCCATGGAGATCGTCCAGCCATCGAGCTTCCCCGTGACGACACTACCGGGGTCACCCCCAAGCCGCGAGGTGCTGTCCAAACATCTCCCTCAACGAGTTCGGCGAGTGCCCGAGTGCGCCGTCTTCTGCGAGACCCTCCTGGCGCTGCTCAATGCAGTCCACGACGCTGTAGCCGCTCACGACGACCAATGGCAGGCTGTCTTCTGCGACCTCGTCAAGCGCTTCCTCAAAATGCTCAGCCGCAAGCCTCTGCTCGAGCGCCTAGCGGGTGGAGAGACGATCGCGTACTCGTTCCGCGAACTCAACGCACAGGTGGACGACATCTTCGCAGGCGTTGGCCTGAACACCGCGAGGAACCAGTGGGCAGCAGACTGGGAGCGTGGATGCGACTACCAGGCTCACAAACTCAGGGAGCTGGTGACTGGTGCTGGCCCCCGCATGCTGATCGGTGAAGTGCGCGGCGTGGAGAAGGTCACCAAGGCGATGCTGGACATGTACACGCGGCTGGACGCCGACACGGTCGGAAGACTCGACGCGTTGAAGCGGGAGACTCTGGAGCGACTCCTGATCACACTCGGGCTTGAGACGCGGGTCATCACTTCGAAGACGGTGACGGCCATTAACCAGCAGCCCACGAGCATTCTATCGATCTTCAGGTGGTTCATCCCGGAGCGAGACGTCAAGATCCTGGGCGAGCCCATCGGCTCGGGGAGCTGCGGAGTCGTGAGCCGCGCCGAATGGCGCCACCGCGACGGATCAGTCGAGGCGGTCATTGTGAAGACGCTCTACGAGGAGCGCACTAGCTCCGAGCTGTCGCTGCTGAAGCAGTTGCAGTTCTGGTACGACCTCCCACGCCACCCGAACATCATCAAGCTCTACGGCGGGTGCCATCTCGCCAAACACCCCTTCTTCGTATGCGAAGACGCGCACGGCGGCGACATCGTCAGCTTCCTGGGGAAGGAGAAGAACCGCGGCCTGTTCTGGAGCTTGTTCTTGCAGGTGGCGGAGGGGCTTCAGATGCTGCACAGTAACCGAATCATGCACGACGGTCTTAAGGGCAGCAACATCCTCATCGGAGAGAACAACACGCCCAAGATCTCCGACTTCGACTGCGCCTACATCCGCACGTTGTCAGCGAGCGTCAGCCAGAAGACGGAGGACCTCCAAGCCAACGCCGTGCGCTGGAAACCGAGAGAGAAGCTGGTCGACACGAACAACGCACTGCCCGAGTACAATTCGGACGTCTACGCGCTCGGTATGACCATGATCGAGGCGCTGACCGGGGCCCCTCCGTTCCAGATGGACCTGGAGGAAGACATCCTCAACAACGTCATCGCCGGCACGCCGTACGAAAAGCCTGAGGAAGCATCGGATGAAGAGTGGAAAGTCGTCAGTCGGCTCATCGCTGTCGATGTTGACAACCGCGCCGACACCGAAGAGACAATTGCTTTGATTCGCAGTCTCGTGCCGGCAACGCCTGCAGCGGCCTAGGGCCTTCATTGGGAAGAAATTGTGATCTTTGCGCGCAACTCTACATGTAACGCCATGTAGTTACCATTCAATGTTAAGGAGTTCGTGGGAAGCAGTATTTTAGTACATGTAGCTTGCATTGGGGCATTCGCAGCGAAATCACGTCGTACGCATACAATGCAGTCCCGTATAGGGCGTTCGCCCATACAGTATTCATCGAGAATCTCCATCGCCGCCGGTGGCGGCGTGCGGCCCATTTTGCCGGGCACTGATTAAAGCAACATTGAAATGTTGGCGTTGCGTAACATTGAGCGCAACAATGGTGCCTCTGCCTAACATTGCACAATGTTACGGTATCTCTCGTAGCAGAATATTTGGTTTACCAATGTGACAATAGTGGACGCGTCGCCAAATATTTGTCGGAACGCTGGCCTAAATATGTATATCCTATACAAAAGTCAAGTATACAAAATATTTTGCAAATATTTTCGCCGTTGTGACAGCTAGGATGTGTCCTAGAATAGGACGGACTGGAGTTTTGATTGGTGTTCATTGCAAGAATCGCGACCATGTTCAAGAAAGGAGGCCCCCACACGCGACCCAGCGGCGGCCAGAGATCGTGACCACGACGGCGAGCGTGGAGCGCGGTTCCTGCACAGTGCCGCCACCTCCGCGCACGCATCCGACGGACCCGGGGCATGACGTCTCGCGCGGCGCACCGGTCGGGGCTAGATGGAGCACGTCGAGCGTGTGCTACTGCAGGGCGCTGCCCATCGACGCGAAGACGTTGTGCGTGCTCACGATGGGCAGCGATGGGGTGGTGGTGCGCGAGGGCAATTGCATCGGCGAGAGTGGTGTGTCGGGCGAGATGATCAAGAGCGAGCAGGAGCTGGAGAAGGCTGTCCGGTGAGGGAAGCGAGGATGAGCCGTGCACCAAGGGCAACAAGGTCAGCAGGTGAACGGCGCTGGTGGCGGTCTACGACGAGGTCGCCGGCCGGCGCACAACGTCCCGGGCTCCGTCTCCGTCGAGGGCTGCTACTTCCGAGACGTCGGCCAGCTCTACTGTTCGTGCGGCAGCACGTCGTGCACCATGCCCCCCAAGATCGTCAGCAAGATGACTCTCGTGACCGTGAATAAGATCGGCGGCGAGCCGACCAAGCCCAAGGACAAGAAGGTGGACGGGTGCACGTGGTCGCAGGGCTCCACGTCGGCAAGCTCAAAAGATAGCATCTTAGAAGGTGAACTGCAGTAATATATGTAGCTATCCTTGTACTCTTTGATATCTTCTACTACATGTAGTATTAGCCGCATGTGCTTCCATTCGACACCGTCACTTACTTTACCATCTTCACCGCAGTTGTATTTTGGAGAGAACCTAAATTTGGTCAATACTTTAAGTAAGAGTCCTATTTGTCGGAAAATGTAGGGATGTCGGAACCGTCGCGATATGGAGTCGTATGGTACCCACCTGCTGATCGTTTTTATTATCCCGGCTGTTTGCTGGCCCTGGCGATTTGAGATATCCGCACGTATGGTTGATGGGAAAGTCTTTCCATCCAAGCAGGATTCATGCCTGGAAGGAGAGCTCCATCTACGCGTTAATACTGTATGCAAGCTTGCTAGGTATGGTTCTCAAAACAAACGGCAGCAAGTTGCAGCTTTGAATCTTCCACAGCAGTCTGGAAGTCTGCTACCCTCCATCCCAGTCGCTCCAAATTAATACATGTACAGCGTAATACAGAGCTGCGGGCGCTGTGTGTCCGGTACCCTATCCGAAGGATGAAATATTCAGAGAACCGCATCCGCCGGAAGCGATTCGGTTTGTAAGAATCTCGAGATGTGTAGATTTGCCGGGAGGCAGGCAAAGAGTGGAGTCAAACCCAGCAGCACTTTGTAATTCGCGCCCGGACCGACTAACCGACAGCACACTAAGCAAGCAAAGCAAAATGCGTCTGAGCCACGTCCTAATCGCGACTTCGGTTGCTCTGTTTTCGAGCTCCGACAGCCTCGTCAGCGCCCAGGACGCCATCGTTGGGGGTGCCCGCAAGCTGACCGTGAGCGAGCCGTCGCTTGTGCATGACGCCTCTATCTCGACCAAGACGACCAAGGAAAAGAAGGTGATGTCCACTTGGGACGAGAGCGGATCGGATGACGATGACATGCAGCAGCAGCAACAGCAGCAGGAGATCGAGTCCGATTCCGACTCCGGAAGCAGCGCCCCCGCGACCAAGAAGGCTCCCGCTACGAAGACGAAGATGCTGCCGGTTGTTGACTCCGAGTCTGCCAGCGACTCCGACTCCGGAAGCAGCGCTCCTGCGGCCACGAAGGCCCCCAAGAAGAAGGTCCCCGCTACGAAGACTAAGAAGCAGCCGGTCGTTGAGTCTGAATCTGCCAGCGGTTCGAGCGGCGACGACAGCGACCTGGACGACCTGCTGTCCATGAGTGGCAGCGGCTTCGACGACCTCTTCTCCCTGACCAGCAGCGAGCTCGATGACCTGCTCAAGTCTCTGGAAGGCAGCGACGCGGCCGACTCCGAGTCGGGCAGTAAAGAGGCGACCAAGGCCCCGAAGAAGGCCAAGAAGGCCAAGAAGGGCAAGACGCCGGTGGAGTCTGCGTCGGGATCGAGCGAGGACGGCAGCGACTCGTTCGACCTGTTCGCCTGGTCGGGATCTGGCAGCGACCTGGCTTCGACCTCGATGACTACTGTGACCTCGGAGTCTGCCTCGACTTCAGCCTCGGCGTCTACTTCGACGTCGGAATCCACGTCGGGATCGAGCGAGGAGGACAGCGACCTGTTCGGCTCGAACAGCGACCTGAGCGACCTGCTCTTGAGCGAGAGCGGCTCGGACAGCGAGGCTTCGGCTGAGTCCGCCTCCGAGTCGGGCGAGGGCTCCAGCTACCTGGACGGCTTGTTGTCGTCTGGCAGCGACGACGACCTGCTGCCCACGAGTCTTCCCAAGAAGGGCAAGGTTGCCAGCTCTTCCTCTTCCTCCTCCACCTCCTCTTCTTCCTCTACTTCTTCTGCGTCGTCGGCACCGTCCAGCGGCTCCTCGAGTGAGGAGGCGGCGACGGAGGCTCCTGCCAACAACCCCGATTGCGACAGCAGCGGCTTCTTTGGCGGCATTAAATCGTGGTGGAAGAAGAACGTCACCAAGTCGTGTCCTAAGACGCGCCGCCTTCGACTGACGGAGTAACGGGATTGTTATAGTCTGAGAATTTCGGTCGGGCTAATGCGTTCAAGAATACAAAAGTTCATCTTCCTTGAAACGCACATGCCATTGACGATCTGTCAAATTATAATGTTCTCTTTTCTGCTGTAATTTAACATGCAAGGTTCTTGGGTGGCTACGGTATCCGGCAAACGATCTCAACATACTTTTGGCTCAAAGCCATAGATTCAGGTTGGCGGAGTCAAGCTGAAGCAAGCCCCATGCTAATGAGCCAAAAGTTTCATGTTGCACCGCTTCGGGTTTTGGCAACGACGTCGAGGTCACTCGCCACTCATTTTGCAATGTGCGCTCCGAACCGCACACGAAGCAAGGGGAATGCGTCTAAGCCACGTCTTGCTGGCGACTTCGGTAGCTTTGCTTTCAAGCACTGACGGTCTCGTCGCCGCCAAGGACGCCATCGTGACGAGTGCTAACGTGGAGGGTGCCCGCGAGTTGACCGTGAGCGAATCTTCTACAGAAGACGATGCCTCTTTGTCTCGACCAAAGCGACCAAGGGAAAGAAAATGATATTCACCTGGGACGAGAGTGAATCGGACGACCAGCGGCAGCAATAACAACACGAAGAGCTGCAACCAAGCGATGCTGAGAGCGGAAGTGCCGAAGAGAGCGGATCAAGCAGTGGTGACCCCAGCATCGAAGAGTTCCTCGATTTTGTCTCTAACGTCGAGGATCTCCGGGAGAAGGCAGGCAGCCGCTTTGAAGAAGCGCTGCTGCTGGGCAGCCTGGCCTCTTGGGCCGGCAGTGGACTCGAGGACACGTTCTCCATGACGAGTAGTGAAGCCGACGACTTGCTAAAGAAGTTGGGCGGCAGCGATTTTAGTGGCAGTAACGTAAACGACCTCCTGTCGATGGGGACAACTACGTTTACGGACGACAGCGAGTCAGACCCCACCAAGGCTCGACGATGGCAACTACGAAGAAGACGAGCAAGCATCTTCGTGCAGACCTCTATTGACGGAGTTAACAACAACAACAGCATTAGGTCGGCAACTTACTGTCAACTGAAACGTTAAGGAATCGGCCTTCAGAAACCAGTGCACTGTACATGTACTCCTATTCTTTTAGGCTTGAAAAATTAGTTGTCGGGACCGCCCAAAAGACATACAGCTTGCGCCCGGATTGGCCAAAATACCAGCCAAGGCACGAAATAACCGACCTGCGTGGCACTCCAGACGAGACCAAGAGCTACGGAGCCATGGGGACCTCGGCAGGGACGCCGGGGATGCCGAAGACGAAGGCGTCGGAGCTGGATCTGCTGCTGGGCGATGACGTGGAAGACGTGGCCAGCTACGACGCCGTGGACAAGGCGCTCGCGCTGTCTGCTGGGGAGGTGCAGGCCCCCGACGAGGGGCCCACGCAGCACGGATTCAGGTAGCTAGCTGGCCAGCCCTCCCCCTCGTGCCTACAGACGACTCCATTGCTCACTTGTTATATTGGTTTACATGTGTTGCAGCTGGCGGACGTTGTGGGCGTACGCGGGCCCGGGCTGGCTCATGAGCATCGCGTACGTGGACCCGGGGAACCTCGAGAGCGACCTGCAGGCCGGCGCGTACGCTGGCTACCAGCTCACCTGGGTGCTGTTTGGTGCAACGGCCATGGGCTTCTTTCTGCAAGTGCTGGCTGCAAGACTGGGGGTGGTCACGGGCAAAAACCTGGCGGAAATGTGCACGGCGGCGTACCCTCGCTGGGCATCGCTGACGCTGTGGATCATGACGGAGATCGCGATTGTGGGGAGCGACGTACAGGAAGTGCTGGGCTCGTCCATCGCCTTTCAGGTGCTGTTTGGCTTCCCGCTGTGGGTTGGCTGCTTGATCACGGGCTTCGACACGTTCACGTTCCTGCTGCTGCACCGCTACGGTATCCGCAAGCTCGAGGCGTTCTTTGTGTCGCTGATCGTGGTGATGCTCGTGTGCTTCTGCGCCAACTTGGTCCGCGGCGAGGTGGCATCTGCGGATGTTGTGAGTGGCTTTGTGCCCCGTGTAGATCGCTACGCCGTGACGCAAGCCGTCGGCATCCTCGGGGCCGTGATCATGCCGCACAACATCTTCCTGCACTCGGCTCTGGTGCAGACCCGACAAGTGAACCGGCACGATGGACGCAAGGTGCACGAGGCGAACAAGTACTTCGCCATCGAGTCGGGCCTCGCGCTGTTCGTGTCGTTCCTGATCAACCTGGCAGTGCTCGCTGTGTTCGCTAAGGGGTTCTTCTCGTCGGACTGTACTACGTCCTACACCACGAGCGGAGTGAACACTGCCTGCGTGCCTGGGGCCATTGCCAGTGGTGATACGTACGGTCACTGCCAGCTTGCAAGTGGAGGTGAGGGCATGTGCCAAGAGATCGGTTTATCCCAGGCTGGCGTGGCGCTCAGTGGAATGCTGGGCGAGTACGCCGACACCATTTGGGCCATCGGCTTGTTGGCGGCAGGGCAGAGCTCGACGATGACGGGGACGTACGCGGGTCAGTTCGTCATGGAAGGGTTCCTGCAGCTTCACCTGTCGCCGTGGAAGCGTGTGGCCCTCACGCGGTGCGTGTCGCTCGTCCCAGCGATGACGGTGGCCATCCTCAGCCAGCAGAACCCCGCGGACAGCGACCACATGGACGAGCTGCTCAACGTGCTGCAGTCCATCCAGCTACCGTTCGCGCTGCTCCCTGTGCTGATCTTCACCAGTTCCCCCTCCATCATGGGCGACTTCGCCAACAGCCGAGCAACGGTAGTGACCGGGTGGCTGCTGGGCGGACTGGTGTGCGTCATCAACCTGTACCTGATCTTCACGAACCTGGAGGGTCTAGCTCTCGGTGCTGTCGGACTCGTGGCGCTGGGAGGCACTTGCTGCCTGTACTTCGGCTTCCTCGCCTACCTGGCTCGAGCCGACATGACCTTGTCCGCTCAACGCGCGCGCACAGCCTCCAGCTCTCGACGCATATCGCAGGACGTCTAAACATTTGCAATAATGCTGCACAAAAGCTCAGACAATAAAATACACTGTAGAGGAAGAAAAAGGTGGGTTATCTTCACCTCAGACAAGCAAAGCTCTTCTTGAATAAATGATAGATAGTATGATACAGCTACAGTAGTGTAGTGGCCGTTGCCAGCTTCACTCGGCGAAGTTGCGTCCGTAGGTCCCGACGCGCCTGGCTCGTCGTCTGGTGGCCTTCTTGGCCCTGGCCTTCCACACTTTGAGCAGCTTCCTGGCCCTGTCCTGCACCTCGGGCGCCTCTGCGCGCCTCGAGAGCCGCGTGAGCGCCACGCCCACGCGCGTCTTCTCCAGCATCTCGAGCGAGATGAAGAGCTGCTCCAGAGCCTCGAGCACGCTCAGCATGTTGGCCGTGGTCTTGGCGTCGTCCAGCTCCTCCTTGAGGTACTGCACGCGCTCCTCCGAGACGACCTTGTCGCCGTGGTGGATGGTCGTCTGGCGCCGCCGCTTCTTCTGCTGCTGAGACGCCGAGGGCGGCGCGTCCGCCAGCGAGGCCGCCAGCGCCGCCGCCGCGTCCCCGCGCAGCACGAAGCGATCCATTGTTGCTGTTGCACACTTGGGAAAATGGCTACACCTTTATGACAAAAGCGGAGTGTTGTAATCGCCAAAAATGGGCATCTTTATGTCTACTACTGTGGAAAGAGGACAAACCGAGTATAAAATTATGAAGTAATAAGCTGCTTGCGTGCTTGCGTGTCTTGCGGGGATTACGCTCTTCGGCAGCTTTCTAGAGTATCGGTAATACGTGATTCACTCTGTAGGCCAACTCACGCTGAGTTTGCCGTTCGCGATCCACAAGTACTTGCAATTTTTGTACGGTATTACAGTGCACATTGCACTCACGGCTCGTTGCTTTTATTCAGCAGTCATCCACTTTCGCTTTGGACGAGGATCAACAGGTGTCGAAGGTGCTTAAGGTTTGCATGAACTACATGCACCTCGGAGCCGACAGTACCGACTGCATCTCAGCAAATTGAGCGGCGCGGGTGGCTTCGCAGATAGGGGGGCATATCCCAATGCTTGCACAGTATCTGATACGCTTGGCCGCGAGCGACTACATCTGATAGAGCTGCCTGACTTCTGAGAAGCGTGGGGAGCCGACGACGGTGGCTCTTACGCGCGCGAAGCTTCGGAAGCACGCATCCTTTTGCAAGAAAAACTTGCCCCCCACACTTTTGAGACGGATATAGCTACAGCGATCAGTATGGGGAGGTTATTAAATGTCAAAAGTGATTGCACAAACAGTGAAGCCATTTCATATTTTGAACCAATCCGATGCGGAGTTGACATCGTTTTCGACCAATCCTACGCACCCTTGGCAGAGGACGTGCGTGGCTTGAGGCAGCATGTTCAACGTCGCCACTATCCAATTGACCCCGCGGAGCCGACACGAGCCCCAGAGACCCCACAACTCGATGAGCGGCAAGACGTACAAGATCGCGGTGCTGCCGGGCGACGGCATCGGGCCCGAGGTGTGCGACCAGGCGGTGCAGGTGCTGCAGACCGTGGGCGCGCTCTTCCAGCACGACTTCGCCTTCACCACGGCGCTGTGCGGCGGCGCGGCCTACGAGCAGCACCAGACGCACCTGCCGCAGTCCACGGTGGACACGGTGGCGGCCTCGGACGCCGTGCTCTTCGGCTCGGTGGGCGGCCCCACGGACGCGCAGGAGGACCCCAAGTGGAAGGACGCGGAGAAGAACTGCCTGCTCGGGCTGCGCAAGAACTTCCAGCTGGCGGTCAACATCCGCCCGGCCAAGATCTACTCGATGCTGCCCGACCTGTCGCCGCTCAAGCCCAGCATCATCGCCAACGGCGTCGACATGGTCATCGTGCGCGAGCTCGTGTCGGGCATCTACTTCGGCGAGCACGCCACCAACGGCGACATGGCCACGGACGTCATGAAGTACACGGAGGCCGAGATTGCCAAGCCCATGCGCTTCGCCTTCAAGACGGCCATGAACGTACGTCCCCACCACCTAGAAGCTTGTGATGGATGAGGACAGAGGTGCTGACATGTTGCTGGTTGTGTGTATTTGTGCAGCGCTCCAAGCGTCTGACGGTCGTGGACAAGGCCAACGTGCTGGACTGCAGCCGTCTGTGGCGCAAGGTGGCCAAGGACGTGGCCAAGGACTTCCCGGAGGTGCAGTTCGACTTCATGTACATCGACAACGCCGTGATGCAGCTCATCCGCAACCCGTCGCAGTTCGACGTGATCGTCACGGGCAACATGTTCGGCGACATCCTGTCGGACGCCGCCTCGGTGCTGCCCGGCTCGCTGGGCCTCATGCCCTCGGCCAGCCTCGGTGACAAGGTGCACCTGTTCGAGCCCATCGGCGGATCGGCGCCCGACATCGCCGGCAAGGACTTCGCCAACCCGATCGCGCAGATCCTGTCGGCTGCGCTGCTGCTGCGCTACTCGTTCCAGATGGAGGCCGAGGCGCAGCACATCGAGAAGGCCGTAGAGCACGTGCTGCTGGACGGCGTGCGCACGGGCGACCTGACCAAGGACAAGGCTGCTGTGGTGGGCACCAAGGCCATGGGCGCCGCCATTATTGCCAAGATCAAGGCGCTGCACCAGTAAGCGACGGCGCGAGTATAGTAGCGTGCTGCTGGATTGATAGATTGTCGTCAATCGGTTTGAATGACACTTAGGTTCACTGTATTGTTTGTTTGGTTCATATTGCTCTAATTGAGTTTGCACTGTTGACTATTCTATCTAGGATGTCTTGCTGGACTGTCGCAGTCGGCGAGTTTTGCTCGTCTGCTTGCTTGTCTGCTTGCTGGGCTCAACCGCTCCGCCGAACTTGCGCTTGAGCCACCTCGTCAATCGCTGCAACAGTCCGTTGTTGTGGTACTTGGTCACGGTGACGGTCTTGCCATTCTGCTCTTTGTTGGGGACCACGACCGAGTTCCCTGCGGCAGCTCCTCCGGTCGCAGCAGCGATCGCTCCTCCTGCTCGCTCTTCCTCGGTCGCTGGCGATAGATCGGTAGACCTCGAGGTCTTCTTGCGCTCGACATCTTCGAGTGACAGCAGGTTGCGAGCCGTAGCAGTTGTTGATGTTGTCAAAGTCGAAATAATGCCACTGTTGCTAACGGCGTCGGTGCTTGTGAATAGTAAGACAGCCATGGTGACCAGCAAGACTTGGACGAGGGAGACCAATTGCATCTTTTTCGAGCTGACCGGTTGGTTGTTGGATGCAAATTGGGGAATGGGGTGTTCGAGGAACGGTAGACGCGGGCGTATTATGACCAAGCGTTTAGCACAAGATGCACTCGGATACAGTTCGTCTAGCGTGCAGGCTCACAATCGTGGCGTAGGAGATCTTGGTCGGAATCTGGGGACGAGGAAGGAGGACTACGGCGGGGTGCTGCCTACACTACACAATACATATCCAAGGCTATTGCGCTGAAGACAAATGATTACGCTTGTACTCCGACCTCGAGATGTTCAGGTGGGAAGACGAAATGACGATGAAAGCCGTACGTCGGAACGAGAGGCCGGAGTTTACAGCACGAGATTCTCAGATAGAAGGTTGTCCGCCATCCGTCCATACCAGGAGGCGAATTGACTCACCAACTAGGTCTCTTCGTTGAATTCGTATGGGTATCTGGACGAGATCTAGTTTAGATACGTACATATACGTACAGTACCATACTGTACTTTCGACCATAGCTGCTAGCGCGTAAGAGTTGATTGTTTTTTTTTCGCGCAGTTGCCACCAGTTCAAAGAATAAACCAATTCAAAGTGCGTGGAGTTCGTTTGCTGATGCCAAACTAAAGAATAGTTCCATAATGGAGCATGTCAAGTCAGCGAGTTCGTTTAGGTACATGCCCAGGAAGTCTGTGATTCGTACGATTTCAATATATGATTACCGTAAGCATAGCGTGTCACGTTGCAAGGCATTACTGCGCTGTCTCTTCGCAGGTCTGCCGCAATCTGGATCGAGTTACAGATTCTCGTCAACTTGTAATGAGCTTTATTCGATGAAAATGCCCGCGAGTTCGTAAGTTTGAGCCGCGCAAGTTGTTCGTGGAGCTTCGTTGTCCTCTCACGTTTACGGCTCTTACCCAGATCCCGCTGAGCTCTTACAGTAGTTTACGATCCATTGGTGACAGTCAACAGCGCAGAAGTGCGGATACTGTAGGCCTCACTGGTACATGTCAAAAGAGGACTTCGGAACGAGGAATTCGCCCCAAGTTTTGGCACGAAGGAATTATGACAATCTAAAATGAAGCAAAAGGTAGTGAGCACGTAGATTTACTGGTGGACTACTCTTGATTCATGCGAAGTCGATAAGAGTACGCTACAAATTTTATTTTTTGCCGGCTCCCGAGCCCAAAGTTTAAGTCGTACATCAATGAGTCGTACTTCTTCGTACGGCTCATTAATTAATATTGACCGATATCAAGGAGCTATAACATGAGATAGTCAACCGTCACTGCAAAGTCCGAAGCAAGTTTGCTTTGTTGTAAATCTACTTGGCACTTAAGATAAATCCACACCTAGAGTACATCTTGTTTTCCGGAACCATTTCGTTTTGTTGTAATGTGTCGACCGAGTACTTCGGAAATAAATAAATTAATTCGTTGTTAGGCCTTATTACGAAATAATTTGTTTATTTCTAAGCAGTAGTTGTGAGTTTGAGTTGCTCATCCCCCCTTCCCCTGCATGATACAAATGGAAAAACTATAAAAATAATGTTGAAATCATTGGAGTACATGTCAAACAAGGATCAAGCGAGACTCGAGCCTGAATTCAAGAATAAAAAGCCACCAAAACGATCCGTCAGGTCGCCATTCCGAGCACGATGCATGTTATAGTGCAAGGCCGGTTCATCGAACACCGGTAACTCCACGACTTCAGGATTTTGTATGTCCGCAATGCCGGTGAACAACGCACGCAAGGTTCAGCTCTAAATTCGGACACAACCACGATAAAAAGTGTCTGGAGCAGCGAAGTTGATTAAACTGTCGCGATCGGATTCCGTCGCCTCAGGAATCCCCCCCTTCAAGACTTCAAGAATTTTTATGTGGACGTTATATTCGAGATTTGACAGCCCACGAAGGCCACTGGACAACGCTTCAATTAGGTTCAGCCTTCAGAAACTTTAGGACAGTATAATTAACGCGTTTTAAAGGGACACATTGGTGACTTCGGGGTGTTCTTCTTGTAGATACGTCTGTAGTTCCTCGAGGTAGAAAGTAGGATGTCCTTTAACATACTCGTGAACGTCGGCAACAACTTCTGGTGGCCATCTTGAGCTGCGAGATGGCTCTACGTCTTCATCTACCACACCTTTCTCCAAGAAAAGGCTGTACCAGCGATATATTGTGCGAGGCTTGAGTCCAAAGATGTCGCTGATGAAGTTCACGTTGATGCCGTACACGTGCAGCAGTGATACTGCACGCCAGCGAAAATCAGCCGAGTAGGTCATGGGAACAGTGGGATTGCTGCTCTGGAGTTCGGTGCTCTGTCGTACGGGCAACAAAGTCTGAAATGCACTGGTGGTAGTGCAATTCGGGCTTTGCGCCTCTAAAACAGCCTTTAATCCCGAGTTAGCACTATGTAACGAAGAGTTTTACATCGTAACCAAGAGTTTAATCCAGAGCTTGCCTATCTAATACAGACTTTTAAACAGAGTTTTGTTATTCAGTTTTGCCAAAATAGATGCAAAGCACAATATCTGCACACTTTAACGTTCATGTATTGCTGTTTGCTTTTCCTGTTCAGATTGCTTGAATTGAGCCCGCACCTTAGCCATGGTGGAAGAGTACCAATTCGCTTTAAGTTGTGCTTCTAGCGCTCGTGTTTGGCGTAGCAGTTGGCGCTGCAGTTCCAGCTTCTGCTTAATCAGCTCTCGACTCATTTCATATTTCTTCTTCTGCTCGGCTTGCACATCCAGACTTTCACTTATCACGTGCATTCCGCTCTGGCGTTCCATTAATTCGCTTTGCACAGGCTTCATTGAGCGCACTTGCCGGTCTTCCTCTTTTTCCTGCGACGACAGCTTCTTCTCACGGGTTTCCGTTTCGTCCATCCGCGATTTCAACTTCTACTCTCGCCCTTGCAAATCTTCAGTCTTGAGCTCCAGCTCCCTCTTCAGCTCCATCAACTGATGTTCCTTAGCTCACAGCTTTTCTGCTTGCGTGTTGAGAGTCTTTGCCTTTTCTGCTTGCGCCACCGCTTCGTTGTCTAGGCCAGCCTTCCTACCCTTGAGTTTTTGATTCGCAGCTGCCGCCTGTGCATGGTGGGCTTCTAGCATGTCATCCACAATTTTTGCCTTTGCGATATCCTGCTTCATCATGGTGCCCAGTTTATTTAGCCTCAACAGTCATCAACTTGTGCCGTGAATCACTTGAAATTGCTCGTTCGTCCGCTAGGTCTCGAACCATTGTTTGCTGCTTGGCATGCATGGAATCAATCTTGCTCTGAAACGGGCGAGCTCTTCTTGAAGCTTGGCGTTTCTCCGGACAAGCTCAACATTGCCAGGAATCCCAACGCCTGGATCCTCTGGACTAGAGTTTGCTGGCACGAGATACTTGGCAGCCGCCAGCGTTTTCACCGCTTCCTTCACTTCAACGGTTTCCATCTGCCCTGGCGTCCACCTCCGCTTCATTCGGCTCACGAGCTGCTTCCAACGCACTCGGTCTCGTTACTCCCTGTTGTAATTGCAGCTGCTCGTGGTAGGCGAGATGTATTTCTTGTAACAAGCATGGCTCATGCTTAGCAAGCTCCGTCGCATACCCAGCGAAGGTTTCGAAATTGAGTTTCCGAGCAATCTTGCTGTAGTCAACTCGTCTGTTATCGTTCCGAGCTGCTTAATATCTTAATGCCAAAGTGCGAGCTTGAGACTTAGACAGCTTGAACGGCTCACTGAGCGTGCGGCGCTCTTTCTTCCCCTTGGCAATACTTGCGGCGATCCACTTGTTCTGGAATGCTGCGACCGCTATGGGGACGAGCTCTCTCGGCAGCTCTTGGATGTCCGGGCCAAAGACCGGCTCCTCCTGTTCCTTCGTCTTTTTGCTTCTCTTGCGACTGCGCGCCCTATCTTTTATTTTGGCCTTGGCATCAGCACTCTGGGTTCTTGTCTTCCGCTTGTTACTTGTCGCCGCGCAGGACTCAGCGGCCGGGCGCCTCTTCTTCATTGTCGCCGTCCGGGTAGTCTTCTTGGCTGCGCACATGTGCTCGATCGGTTTGCCACAGTTGGAAATTTCTGAAGAACCTGCGACAGGTGAAAGCTCCCTCTCGAGAATGATTGAAATACTTTGATTGACACATGCACACAAACCGTCAGTCTCGCGCCAGTCGCGATTTTACTCGAGATAAGAGCAATGGCGGCGCCGGGAAGTTGGGAGGAACCACTGCAACGCATCACCGCAGCCGCCTGCGATCCAACGTGGTACTACGACAAGGTTGTGGTGCTTCTGCGAGGCCTCCCTGGCAGTGGCAAAAGTACGTTTTGCGACCTACGGGTGCGTGACCTTCAAGTTGCTTTGGACGGACACGTCAACAGTCAGGGAAGGCCGCGCTACATTCGCGTCTGCAGCAGCTCTTTTTTTTTAAGATTTGAGATAAACGGCGCATGGATGACGAGCAGCTTCTACTCGATGACTTTGCGTCGTCGCTACGAACCGCAGACGTGGTGGTTGTGGATGAGAGGAACATTGCCCAGGCTGAACCATTCGTTGATGCAGTGGAAAAATACAACGAAGACCCGAAGAAAGAAAGCGCTATCTACGCGGTACTGTTCTCGTGCCGTGATGAAGTGCACGCCCTCCAACTCAATCAGCGCTCACCGGCTCCACTTGACCCTGAGGATCTTGGCCGTTGCTACAGGGACTTTGTTACTGGTGCTGACATCGGCCCTCGTGGTGGGTTGACGTTCGACGTGTACCCAGATATCTAGTTTACGCCTTGAACTATCTGGTGAACACGAGGCAAGCTTGGCTGGTTACAGGAAGACCAGCATGTTCCTTGAAATTGAATATGAGGTCTTTTCTGGATACTATTTTGTTCTTGTTGTTGCGTTAAACACCGTAATCATACTACATCAATGTATGCAATGTTCTCGATCGCTTAATTATGCCTTATTGCTCTGCGCGTCCACCTATATTTCCTTAACCGCAGGTGCTTGGTATTACTCTACCAAGTAACATCCACCACAGCTTAGTAACTCCAATCCCTGCACCTTCAACCAAAGACTGCTATTTTGACTGGCTTTCACTATGCAGGGTCTAATCATGAGCAACGATTGCTAGATTGATTGGTAAATAGACTGGACTTCAGTATGCTGAGTCGAATCATCCTTTGGGGCCACACCGGTTTCAGGACAATGTACCAGTTAGGTGTCAAGAGGGGTCACCTTTTGACTTGACGTACCACAGATATAATCCTATTTGGTCTGCGATAGCAGCACTAACGTTGCTTCCTATCCCAGTATAATCCTGTTTGGTCTGCGATAGCAGCACTAACGTTGCTTCCTATCCCAGTAATATATATGTATCCATTATTTATTATTGTTGGCTTCTCAATGCATTTATTTGTTAATGCCCAATGAAACCAATAAAATAATACTTTATTGTAATGTCCGAGTACTGCCCTAAAGACCCACAGCAACACCGGCACCAACTCCCTTCCGTTCCCCTCGATCCACAGCACCACCAACACCAGCTCCCTTCCGCTCCCCTCAACCCGTCACTCTCCGTCCAGAACTCCTTCACTCGCCGCCTCCATTGCTAGCCCATGAAAGCTGCCTGCATACACAAACGAAAGCAACACGGTTAGCACCCGGAGCTCAACCGCACGCGCCGTCGCTGCCACGAACCTGGCCCGCTGCTTCGACCCTCGCCGCTACTAAATCCATACCTGTAGCACCTCAACAACAGTACAAGTTAGTTTCACCATTGAGCTCATGCACGTCGCAATCCATACGAGCTTTCTACCGATGCCGCTTCACGCACGGGTGCCTGGGGTCTGACGGGGCAAATTCACGAATGACGGGTAGTGGGTTGAAGTTGGGAAGGGGGGGCTGTCCTGTCCCGACCCTTCGGCGCTGATTTAGTAATTCGAGTGTTAAATAGACTTCGTTTCACTATGGTTGGGTGAAGTGTCCTGTTCGACCCGGGTTCGCTGGTTGCTAAATAGACTGGAGTTCACTATTCTAAATAAGGTCCTGCTGGAGGTGAACCAAGACAGCTCATCCCGCCACTTCATCGCAACTGACTAAATGATAGACAATTTGTATTGTAGACTACAGATTTCTATGCTACAACCTGCCAGTGCGAGGTCGAGTCAGCAGGGACAGCTAGCGCGACCCAACAGCTGGATGGCTCAGGACTCGAGCGCGTACAGTAGCTAGCATTTGCGTCAATATAGTATCATAAAATGTGGTATGCACTGCATTTTTTTCGTCATCAAGTCAAGTCTGTTCTTTCGGAGCGCTACCTGGTCCTGCATTCCTGCATGTAGCATGCTGTTAGCACGGTCTGCTGTTAGTTTAGCACGCTGTTAGCCCGGCATACATTTCCCTATATTATTCGGCCGGTATTCGGTCAGCGCGCCCGTGCTGGTACAGAAATCTGCCTCAATACCGAACGGGTATACAATACATAACCTCATATAAATAATATTTCAAGGTCCAACAACAGGACGAACGGAGATGGGCAAAGGTACTGATGTAAAAATTCAGGATACCTTTGTTTGGCTAAAAGTACCAAGCTGTGCAGTTTGAAAATTGGCGCCCTTTTGATTGTCTGTGCGATCTTCTCTGTATTTACGATTCCACTTTCACATTTGCGCACTACCCGCTACGCCCTCTACGAGTAGTACAAAGTAGAGATACTAACCGCACTGATGTGGTGCGAACACGCTTGGTCGAAGGTCAGCGCTGAAACAACTCAGCACTGCTTTACTCGGGTTTGATTAACTAAGCAAGCGTCAAATCCCGTCTAAGATAAACTAATTCAGAACAGCCTTTTTTCTGGTAACGCTGAGATCTCTTTATAAACCTAGAGCCTATATCAGGCGTTCGGTATTCAGGCAGAGTTCTGTAGTTAGTCGTTGTGTAATGTTCACAATTGAAGTAACAGCAAGTAAAGTAACAATAAAAACCGGTATTTTGAAGTAAGCGAAGTAACGCGAAAATGAAATAATAAATGGACTCGGGGGACAATTGTACCCCAGGGGTATAAAAATCGGCCTGTATAATATGGGGAAAGAAATAGAATTAGGCTTGAGGGGCAATAGTACCCCTGGGGTACAAATCCGATAGCACGTGTACTAGACACAGTCCTAACGAACTGTGAACTTGTAACTTGCAGTGAACCTATCGGATAAACCCATCAGTGACCATTTCCAGCTGCGTGACTCCGTAAAAATGTTGCCCCTGTGCACAGGCTTGGGTAAAGCAGTAATTCAACTTTCTGTCCGCATCATCGATGTGATACGGTCTATCCTACCCAAGCCATAGGACACCCACTGCTCGCAGGATACAGTAGTTGAACCCGCACTCTACATTTGCCATGGGGCAAGTCCCGCGTGGTCCTGCGTCCAGTTCGCACACCGGCAAGTTACACGCGCCAGCGCTTCCCTAGTAAACTGAACCCGAACATTCCATTGCAGTGCCTCGCTGTACATGTACAAGCAAACTACTGTATACCGGCAACGAGAAAGGAACGGATATCCAGTTGAAGCTTATGCCCGCCCCAACCTTGAAACCACGCTACCATCACAATCGTCACAATCAAGACAAACCCCGCCACCGAACCATCCCAATTGGGTTCATGCGGGACCTCCACTCTCCTTTTCAGTCTGCAGGACGCGCGCAATAGCCTCGTATCATACATCCATCATCTCCTCTCCTCCTCCCGCTCGGGCAGGGCTCCATACAACAACGATAACCAGCCCATGTTCCACGTCGCGGCGCGGGTCTCCGCCTACCTAATCGAGCCCGCTGCAGTCTCCGCGCTATCGGACTCGGACGACGAGTTCCGCGTCCTGTTCGCTCGAGTCCACGCGCGGCTGCAATGCGTCGCCCACACACTGCGCGGCTGCGGCCGACATGACCTCCGCGCAAGCGTTGGGCTGCTCGTGCTGCTCCGGCGACTGGTCGCGAGGGTGCAGCGGGCGGTGAGCAAGCACCGCGAGCTGAATCTGCTCGTGCGCTTCGCCACGCAGCGCGCGACGCTCGACAAGTTGAAGGGACTGCACCAGGTGATCGACCGCTTCTTCGGCTACGCAGGGCTGCGGAGCCACCCGGAGATGACCAAGTGGAGGGATTTATGGGCCCAGGACTGCGCCAGCATGTACGCGACGTTCGAGACCCGCGTGATGAAGCCGCAGCTCGCGGTCGCCGAGCTGCCGACAGCCGAGATCGCCGAGATCCTGGCCATTATGAAGTACGAGCTGGAGTATCACAAGGACGAGCTCACAACTGAGCAGGCGAGACTATTGCAGACGACGGCTAGGAAAGTAATGCTGGCTTCCAAAGTGCACGTGCCCAAGATCTCGGCCTTCTACATCCCGTCCGTAGACGTGGACTTCGGGGAGGACTACGACGGTGTGGGGAAGACTCACGGCTGCGAGGTCAAGCGGGGAGTGTACGACCAGGAGACGCGGCTCGTCGCGCAGTACCTGACTGCCGACAACCGGTACGCTAGACAGCTCTTCTGGTCCGCGACGGAGATTTGGCACGGCTTTCAACACCCGAATGTGGCCAAGATGCTGGGTGAGTCGCTCGTGGAGGCCAAACCGGTGGTTGTGTGGGAAGACGCCGCGGCGCACGGCAACTTCATCCACTACTTTGCGAACGAGAACGAGGACAACCAGAGACGGTTGTGGCGGATGTTTTTGCAGGTAGCTCATGGCCTGAACTACATTCACCAGCAAGGCAAGGCCCACGGAAATCTGAAGTGTTCCCACATCTTGGTGGCCAGAGACGGCACTCCCAAAATTTGTCATTTTGAGCTGAGCAAAGGGTCGGATGTGGGGGCGCTTGATCGCTGGAAAGGCCCGGAATACAACCTGGGAATTGGCCTCGACCCGTCAAAAGCTGGAGACGTGTACGCATTCGGGCTGTGCATCCTTGAGGCGCGTACAGGTGATATTCCCTACGGGCTGGACTGTGATGATACCGTGAAACAGCAACTTGAAGAGTGCGAATGCTACCCACGACCTGAAGGCTTGCGGGATGATGAATGGGAGGTTGTGGAGAGATTTGTCATGCACAAGCCTGAGGAGAGACCCACGATGGCTCAGGCGATCGAGATGGTGGAGGAGTTGGCGTGGAAGGAGGCGCTGGAGGAGAACCGAATGGGGATTGACCGCGCCAAGACGGCGTAGAATTGCCGTACCGAAGTGACATCAAGCTAAAGTGGAACAAGTGAAGAATTATACAAGCTCCCGTGGCGTTATTGAAGAACTACATGTACAGCTGTACAGAGCTAAACGACTTCTTGAATAATTTTCATTTTTAAAGTATAAAAATATACAGCACGGAATTTCAAAGTATGAATCAGTTTTTGGTGTTAGGCTTGAAGGGATCTAACCGTGACTGAAGCCTCACTTAACGCAGCTTGTCGTAAGCCACTTGAGCGCAGCGATGAAAGAATGAAAGTGTGGTCTTTTTGCTTAGTCTCGTGGTTAGCTACTTTCCTAGATCTTCTCGGAGTCAAAACTATTACTATCAACCACTCCAGCATTGTCTGGCCGTTGGATGACCTGTTCAACGGCGGAGTCGTGTCACTTCACGACAAGCTCGCCCTTTACCCTAGCATTATCGAGTGGCTGCTCGGAAGCACAGGTGCTGTAAGGTGAGCATTCTTGTAGAAATTCTCTAACGCGCGTTCAGCGAGGTCACGCTCAGTCTCCGTACCAAATTGGCACATCCACTTTAGTGCAGCAAGCGCCGACGTGGGCCATGACGGTTTTTAACTTCGCTGAATTCGACAAATTCACTAATGCAGCAAGAGCAATTTCTCTCTCCCGACCCAGCGTTCTATCTTTGAGTAACTTTTCGAGTGCCTGGACGTCGCTCGATCGTATCAGCATTGCTACATCAAGAATGTTTTTAAACGCCAATGCAGCCGAAGCTCGCACTCGCGCCGGTCTGTAATGAACGTGAAGTAGTCGCAAGAGCGCTGGGATTAGTATGGACTTGTCCTTCGCGTTACGCTGCGCACACGCAAACGAAAAAAACTCCATGATCTCCTTTGCTTCGCGGCGCTGACGCTCCGTGCTGCCACTTTCCATCAGCTGCGCCATCAACGGGATCGTGTTGGCATTAACGATCTGAAGCGGGACGTTAACTTGATCGCCATCGACAAGCTTCCGCAAGGCGGCCAGGGCGTTTACTTGTTGCGCTTGGCTTCCTTTTAGAAGAAGTTCAACTAATCGAGGCACCCCGCCTGCAGCTGTAATCGCGTTTATATTGTGTCGGTTGTGGGCCAGATTCATCAATGTTGCCGCCGCTTTTTCCTTCTAAAGATCGCTCCCCTCTACCACCAATCGTAGTAATGGCTCAACAGCCCCAGCGTCCACAATTTTGCCTCCGTTGGTGCGACTCAAAGCAAGATTTTGGAGCAAAGAGACCGCCTTTTCCTGTTGAGGAGCAGTCCCACTTCGTAGTAAGTCCACAACAGCCCGGTATACAGTTCACTTGAGAAATCTGACTTCGAAATTCAGTTTCCATTGCTAAATCGATCAACGCTGCTGTTGAAAAAGTCTTCTCTTCCTCAGAGCCGTCCTTAACCAAGCCCACCAGGGGCTTAATTGCACCGGCTTGGGCAATCTTCTTGCGGTTAGATTGATTTGCAGCCAAATTCGACAACCCCCTTGCAGCAACACTCGCGGCTCTTGCTTTCAAGCATTCGCACGAAGAGTGGAATCACACCAGCATCTGCCACAAGTTGCTCAAACTGGGTGACGACAGCTATGTTCGTTAACACGCTTGCAGCGTTATTTCGTTGTGAAGAGGTTCCAGTCTGTATCAAGCCAACGAGTTCTCGGATCGATCCAGTACGTACTAGCGCGGGGATGTTGGCTTTGTCTCCTGATATGGCTACCAGTGTAGTGAGTGCGCGGCCCCTCTCTTTGCTGCTGCCGTTGCATACCATGGCTACCAAACGAGAAATAGCCCCGCAGTTATCGAGCTGAGCTCGAATTGATCTGCTGCCTAGCGCTACATAAGTAAGCACTCGAGCTGCGCTGCCGCCACAGAAATGAAATCTTTCTCCTTCCTTCTTGGCTGCAGCAGCGACACCAGCCGAGGAATGCCATTTTCCGCACGAAAAGTTGCCTTGTTGCTGTCACTGTCCCAACACAGGTTGGCGAGTGCAGTTACAGCCCACTTGACCACGCGTCCATCTTTCTCACGGAGCAAGTCGATAATTGCAGCAATTTCTCGCTTTTCAGCACCACTGGCCCATCGATATTGTTGTATGAGCACGACATAATTCCCCGCTGAGATGGCTATTGAGCGGTTCGCACTCTTCGCCAACGTCAACACTTGCAACAGTACATGTGGTCGCGACACCAACTCATTGTCATACACGAGTATCCCATGGGTTTTGTGAAGGCGCTCCATGTCCAAGGTCATTATGAAGGAGCACAAATGAGCGACAACCTCGTCTGTCGTCACTCGCTCTGCGGGATTGAAGCACGTCATTCTCTCGATCAGCCGCCACATATTATCCCATTTTGGCCCTTTCAATGCGTCTGGTTGTGGAGGATTTTCACCTCGCAGCAGACGAAACTTTGCTACACTTTCGCCAATGTTGCCAAACGGCACGGCCCCACTCACAGCTTCTATCATGCACATCGCGAACGAGAAGACATCAGACGCATACGTTGCCTGCTTCCCAGAGATACACTCTGGTGCTTTCCACCTTAAGGCACCACAAGCCTCCACTTATCGACTCTCCATTATCAACATTGCGACTCAAGCCAAAATCAGACAGTTTGGCAATCCCATCGTCGCCAACCAAAATATTGTTGAGCTTCAAATCTCCGTGAACGACACCAACTCGATGCAGATGCTGCAGTCCAAGCGCTGCATTCACGAGGGAGTACCAAACCAATGATGGGTTGTCCTCGCGATGCTGTGCGAGAAATTTGTCCAGCTGACCCAGGCTTGCAAACTCACAAACGAAAAACGGTTGGTCGGCGTCACAAGCACCGTACAATTTAACCACGTTGATGTGATTGAGTCGAAACCAAGTATCGGCTTCTGCCTTGAATTCTGCAAGTGTAGTTTGTTCGCCACGTTTGACTTGTTTCACCACAACAGGCGTATCAAACCAGGTCCCTTTCCATGCTGTGGCGAACAATCCATCACCAATCTCTTCGTCGAGATGCACTTCGTCGGGGGTAATCAGCCATGGACTTGCCTGGCAGCTCGTCACAACTTGTTCAGGTTCAGATAGTGCATTCCGACTCCAGTCATGTATCTCATTTCTCCGCAACGTAACATGAGAATCGAGCAGGCAATCCAGTCTCTCGTGAATTTCACCAATATCGTACTCAAATGTTTGTTGTCCTGAAGCAGATGATGACCTTGAGAGGCTACTACTGCCACCCCCTTCACGAAGCAAGCTAAACAACCGATCCAAGCACCAGCAATAGATTGATACAGCTTCGACCATCTTCGGCAACTGATCGCTTCGGGCAGTTACAATAGCCTTCAGCTGCTCCAGCACATCAGCCACGCGCTTGTAGAGTTGCCCGAGCTCGTTGTCATACGCATACGCTTTACACAAATCGAGGCACTCTCGGATCGAAAGATCCGCCTTCGGTACAATGACATCTTCTACCTCTAGCGGTACTTGAGTCCGAATTTGCTTCACAACACTCCCCCAGACGTTCACCGCAGGACGCTCGGCCAACTCGCCCAATTTCCCAATGACTTCGGGGAAACCGATGTTGACAGTACCATGCGTTCAAGAAACTCCCACTCATGGACCAGTATAAACTTGGGGCGTTCCACTGGGAAGATTTCATCACCGTCGTTGGAGATGCTGGACTCGTCAATGGCACTTGCGTGAAGGCTTCGATAGTACAAGTCAAGTTTGCGCCACGCGGCAATAATGCTGGTCGCAAAAGCGCGCTGCGGTTGGAATGCACAAGCTCTCCGCATCCCACGACCGCCTTTCCTTCGAAGCGAGCTATCCACATGCACTGAGTCGTAAGACTCGCAATAGCGAGCCTACGACTGTGTAGATAGCGTAGTCCCAGCGCTATTTGATCAAACATCCGCCACAGAACCTTGCGCTCGGGAGATTCCTTTCGATCTGTCATAGCCGCGAGTATTGGGCGCGTTCCTTCGTGCAGCAAGAACGGCCGCCTCCCTACGTAGCACGCGCCGAGGAACTTTGCAATGTGAGGGTGATTGAGCGTACTCCAGATCGATGCACTTCGGATGATACGTTCACTCAAATCAGGAGCGCTCGGGGAATGTTGACAATCACCATACCGGAAGACTCCACATGAGTGGCGTTTGGCATTGGAGGGCTCTTGCACATACGCGCAGCTTGTGTTTTTGTTACATTTGCTGCTCGAGGAGTTTATCAACGTAGAGGCCTTCATGGATCTACACATCCGCCTGGATCGACGTGAATGGCTCAAGCTGCGTCCTAAAGAGACCAGGAACTTTATTCCCGAGGCAGGAAAAGTTGTTGTATACTTTGGAGATGGCCATGCGCTAGCGTTGAAAGAAGACGAGAAGTCGAAGAAGAAACGTTTTACGCAGAAGAACCAAGTCGAACACAGTCTCCATCAACGCTATCTCGCCCGGTATCAGCTCCCTTTTGACCTTGTCCTCGTCCACCGCTGCCTTCAGTAACGTCAAAACCTCCTCCTGCTGGACAGAAGTCTTTGTCTCGCTGTCGAACCTCGTCTTCTCCTCCAACATCGTCCAGTACCATTTGATCCGTGCGCTTCTCTCCGCTTGCAACGCTCCTGACCACTTACCTTCACTCATCGCTTCAAGAACTCCATCGCCCGCCATAGCGACAGCCTCGTCGAGCACGCGGTGCAGCCGTCGGACTTGCTGCACTGCGGTGCTTGTGCCTGCGAGCTGGACGAGTGGGGGGGCAACCTCAAATGGCTGCAACTCCTCGCGCGCGCTCTCGACAGCCAGCAGCAGCCCGAACAGCGTCTCGTTCACATGCGGGATGGCTTCAATTGTCTGACGGAAGCATCGATATCGCGCCGCCGCGTGGTCGCCCAACCGAGCTGGAGAGTGGTGCACGTCCCCCAGCCGGGTCCAGTCCCATCGACCCCCACCCATGCGTCCTGTTCCTAGTAGGAACTTCCTACGTGTCTGCTCCCGTAGCTCTCCGACTGAGGGGGGGGGGGGGGAGCTGCTGAGAGCGATTGCAGATAGTGCAGCTGATCTCCACGGGCAAACAGGAGGTCCTAGGCGAGGTCCCTCCGGCTTCTTCCCTTCAAGTTAATAAAGGGGACGTTTAACAGGGGACATCTCTTCTTGTCTGTAGGCCAACGAGAAACATTGCCGCCAATGCAGCTATCGATGGCCCCCAGGAGTGGGTCTGGTTGAAGCATCTCCTTGAACGCGTGAGATCGTTTTGAGGTAGGGGAGGGGGGGGGGGGGCTTTGCGTATGCTCAGCATCACCTTTGAATCACCGCCGCACACATCAGTGAAGCTCCATGGCTTACAACTGATAGCATCCATGTTATCAGTTGGAGCAATCTGTAAGACAGATTGCTCCTCTGCCCAGAGAAGCCCCGAAAGCTGACGCGTCATACAGGCAGGGTATCCATCGCCTTTGGAGCGAGGGTTCATTTCGACTTTTTGGCTGGCTTTTCCACGCGTTTCCGCGCAGGCCGCCCCTATATCAGTAGCAGTTTTGGAGCCTACTCACTCACCCACCCAAGCGAGATGCAGCAGGCTGTGCACGAAAACCTCGACGCCCTGAAGACGCAGGTGGTCGTCCGGGAGCACCAACGCATGCTGCTGCCCGTGCACGCGCGGGCCACTCGCACAGGCGAGTTCCTGCTCCGCTCCTTGGAGCGGCCAGCGCCCACCGCGTCAACCCACTCGGCCGCCGCCTTGTACCGCGAAGCCGTGAGAGCGTTGGTGGCGTTTGTGACGACCTTCTCCAAGACGGACAAGTTCGTCTTTCACCTGGCCAGCATGAGGCGCATGTACCTGGATCTGTGCGCTGTAGGCTCCAAGCTGGACCAAGTGGTGGAGGTCGGGGGACTCAAGGGCGTGGCGGACGATAGTACTAACACTACGTGGCAGACGCAGTTGATGGCCGGCAGAGAGCAAGAGGAGGAGGGACTTAGTGCCCGAGCCGCTAAGAACGCGCTCCCTTTTGCGAGGAACATGATGCCGCACGAGCCGATGGAGGCTCTGACGCTGCTAAAGTACGAGATCGACTTCTACAAGGCCGAGAACTCGACGCGACACGTAGCCAGCATGAAGAAGGTCTTCTTCAGTGTCGTGAGGTCGTCGAACGGCCGTGTGGCCAAGATCCCGGACTGGTACATACCCCCCAATGCCGTGGTTTATATTCGAGAGGAGCCGATGGAAGGCTCGGTCGGGACAGCGCATCGTGGTGTATGGGTGAATAATAAATCCTCAAAAGCGAACAAAGATGGCGGGAACGGAGAAGGTGGGAAACAGCCTCCTGAATCGACCGACGTGGTGGTGAAGCGGCTCATTATCCACGCGGACGCCATTGAAATATTCCGACAAGAAGTGGAGACCTGGTACTCGATGGATCACGTAAATATTTTGAAGCTGTACGGCGCGTCGCACTGCAGTCGACCAGCGCTTCTCGTGCTTGAGGACGCCAAGAATGGGTCTCTGGTTAACTACTTGGCGCAGCTACGTCAGTCGAATTGGCCGGATGCTGACGTTGATCGCGAGATGTGGGGCTGCTTGGTCGAAGCAGCGAAGGGGCTACAGTTTCTCCATGAAAGCAAACGATTCGTGCATAGCAACCTGAAGAGTGACAATATTCTGGTGACGAAGGATGGGAGAGTGAAGCTGGCGGACTTTGGACTTGGCATGCTCGCTCTACAGGACCAATCAGTGCAGAAGAATGCGTTCAAGGAACTGGGTTGGCGTGCTCCCAACTGCCTGCAGAAGAAGCCATTTCGCCGTCCTTCTTTCCACGACGACATCTATTCGTTGGGTTTGTGTGTGCTGGACGTGCTAGTGCCCACACTCTCGTCAATTAAGCTGGGCACCAGTTCTGGCGCGCCCAAGCATGTTGGAGAGGTGGGCTTTGAGCCGCTGTCGGCCGATATTACGAAGTTGATTGTCGATGCGAACGCCCGGGAGTTGGTCATGGGCATGTGCAACAAGAATCCGCAGTCGAGGCTGACACTGGAGGAGGTTATCTCGCGCTTGGAGAAGTTGCGAGGCCCGATAGCAACGAAGGCAGTGGTTCAAAATGGTCAACCTAAAGCAGATGATCTCGCCAAGAAAAGCATTGGAGCTTAGAGCATCAAGATGCTTTGGGGTGATTAGCATCGTCCGCACTTTTGGCAATCAACGGAGGCACACGCTGCTACCACCAAAACGGTGTTCCCCGTTCAGTGTGATTGCAGTCGAATCCTGTGAAGATTTGGTAGACAAGATATAGCCAGTTTTCGAGGTTCGGGTTGAACTTGTCAGAAGAGGGCGACAATAAATTACCTTACCGTCGGAGGCACTGATTTTTCGAAAAATAAGAGCCGCCCCGCGGCCCCCGTTTTGGATGGCATTCGTCGATCGGCCCCAGAGAGAAAGAAGCAAGAGTGAAGGTCCCTGCACAAGAATAGCGCGCACAACTGGCACGGTACGCTTACATGCGAGTCATGGGTAAGGAATATGTGTTACTGACATTTGCTTCTATTAGCCTGGCTCGTCGAAGCGCCCTCCAGGCTCCGAAGACGCCCATGTGACGCGTGCGCAGCGCGACAGTGCTGAGTCGGAGCGGAGTCGGAGTCGGCAGCGCCAGCGCGAACTTCGGCATGAAACGGACAGGACGCTGCGCGATCTCCCCCTGCTGCCAGTGTACAATCGCGGTATGCTGGAAGCGCAGCGTGCCTCGAATGTTGCGCGCGCACGCCGCGACGAGCAGGAGATCCGACTGGCAATGGACGGGAGGCACAAACGCACTCGGAGTGCTACCGCAATGCTGCGAAGTGAAGATGGGAAGAAGGCTGGGCAGAAGGCCCGGGCTGAAGCCCGCGAGCAGAGCATGTACGAGCGGTGGGAAGCACGTGCCGCGCGCGAGATGTTCGGCATAGAGCCAGATTCGGATTCTGACGACGGCGCCCTTGCCGAAGCCATTTCCGCTTTGGACGAGGCCGACGAAGAGCTGTCTCCTGGCGGCACGGACGACTCCGACTACGAGGAGAAGACCCCGCCGTTCGGCACCGACCCAGACGCCAGTGATGAAGATGACGGAGACAACGATGATGAAGAGCGCGAATCGGCCGCTGAAAACGACGGTGAAGAGAGCGAGGATGCTGACGAAGACGACAAAGACTGGCGTGGGAATGAGGGCAACGTCGAAGAGGAAGAAGGTGACGTCGGGAGTGGAGACCGCGCAGACGAAGCGGACAGCGAGGAAGACGACGAAGGGACGAGATTCGGTTGGTACCCGAACCGAAATCTCACCGAAGTTCGTCCCGCACGTATGACCTTCGCGTGAAGCGAGTTGTGCCTGTGTGGTTCTACGGATTCAGCACCACGTTCGACTCGTGGGATACGTTCCACACCTCGTTCGACGACTTCCAGGCTCAGACATTCCAGCAGTTTTCCATGCGAACAAGTACGTCAGTTTTCCTGCGGAACAAGCAAATTCTCGAAAATGACAAGGAAAGGAAGCGAGCCACAAAGAAGGCCCGGAAACCGATCACCTTGGTTCCGGCGGAATGGGTGACGTACTCGAAAACGCTGGTCTGCACGCATGGTCAGCCCTACGAACCGAAGGGCAAGGGAAAGCGGCACCACAACAACCTTCGCGACACGAAGTGCAAGGCGAGATTGAATGTGCGTGTCGCTGCCACGTTCAGCGGAACTTGGCGTTTACGCGTGAACGCCACCGGCAAACACAATCACGACTTGAACAAGCATCTTTGGGAGAGCTACGCGGAGAACCGGACGGTGAAGGACCCGCAGTTGACGGAGGATGTGGCAGTGCTGCATAAGGCTGGGGCGAACACGCACGGCATCTTGCAATACCTGCGTGAACGTACAGGTAAAGTCTTATCACTTTCTGTGTGATTTTGGTTTGTTCCTAACTATTTGCTGTGGATATTTGGTGGTATGTTGTAGGCAAGAAAACCGTGCGGAAGGACGTCCACAACATGGTGCAGCGATACAAACTGACCGAGCAAGCTGGTCTTACTGATGCGCAACGCGCATTTGCAGTGATGGAAGAGTTTTGTCTGCAGCACGGTGGCAACTCTGCTCAAATTCTTGTAGATAGCGACTCCAACGTTGCTCGCGTCGCCACGTTCCAGTCCGCAAGAATGAAGCGCTTGTTCAAAGCGTTTCCGGAGGTGATTCTCGTTGATGCCACGCACGACACGAACGTGAACCGCTACAAGCTGTTCAGCTTCGTAGTGCACGACGTGTTCGGAAAGGTACTGACGTAGACAAGTTTTTTGTTGTGCTGTACTCTAATACACTATTCTAACCTTATCATAGGGTCAATATGTCCATCATGCACTTGTAGACAGTGAGCACAAAGACAATCTGCGCCGAGTGATGGAGATCTTCAAAGCAAACAACCCTGACTGGGCCAAAATCCAAGTGGTGATGACGGACAAGGCTGCTCATGAGAAAGAAGTTCGGCGAGAAGAGCTGCCCGACGTTCGACAACTCTTGTGTCAGTGGCATGTGATTACCTGGCTGAAGAAGCAGGCTGCACGTCTGGCGTCATCGGTGAAGAGCGTGATGCGGTTGATGGTGTACGCAAGCAACGAGGACGAGTATGAAGATGCAAAAGGAGCTGTGTTGGAGTTGCTTGGAGGCGATACATCACACGAGTTGTACCGCACGTTCATGGCAAACTGGGACAGTAACCAGGACGAGTGGGTTTCCTACAAGCGCGGCAACACGCCGCACCTGACGAACAACACCAACAATAGGATCGAGTCCAAGTGGGGGAAGATAAAGGATGTTATTAACGACTCCTTCACTATCGACCAACTCCTGTCTACACTGATGACGCTGCAGCACTATGCCGAAGAGCAATATCTCGCAGAATACCATCAAGTTGGGAGCCGGCCTTCGCGGGATTTGGAGGACCGCGAGCTGACGCTGCTGGCTTTGCAGGTGAGCCCGTTTTCCTTCGAATTGGTCGCCAAACAGCACACCTTGGCAACCGGTCCGAACGCAGACTACACGGTTGAGCTGAACACACCAGGACGAGCCACTGTCACGAGCCCAAGGTCTGGAAAAGTGCATGAAGTCAACACGAGGGTAAGCTATTCAAGTTATGGTATACTTTTGGTCTATTCAGTTATCTTTGGTATTGGCGACTGACATCTAATCTGTGCTGTACAGACGAACTCCTGCAACTGTATCTTCATGAAGACCTGCTTGCTACCCTGCCGCCACGTGATGTACGTCCGGAGCACGTCCAACTTCGAAACAGTACTGCCCCCGATGCACTGTTTTCCTACACGATGGATTGTGCAGAGTCCAGAAAACACCATCGACTGGGGAGAAATTCCGTGTGGAGGGTTGAAGCAAGGGAGCTGTCCGTCTCGAGCGAAGGAGCGAGCTTTGTCGGGGGCTGCGATGTACATCGAAGCCAAGGCAACAACGGAGAAGACCATTGCAAGAATGGCACTTCAATCTACACCCACATTTCGAATCGCGCTGAAGTGGCTTCAGGATTTCTACGAAGCGCTCAACTACGGCGACGTGGTTGCCTTTGCAGAGCGCGAGATTCCCGTATTCACGGGGCTTTCGCTAGTGACCTCCAGAGCAAAGGAAACCACCAAGGTTGAAGATACTGGCGGAATCGAAAGAAGTGAGGAGGAGTCCTGCAGCACTGCTGTTGAAGTCGATGTGGCCGCTGATGGAGAAACTCAAACGGGTGCAGAAGCAGAGGAAGATGGCAACGCTACACCCTCCGACCAAACCTTACAAGATTCTACCGAACCCACACAAGTCTCCACCGAATCGAGAAAGCCGTCAGAAGAAGGCCCGAAGGCAGTCACGTGGACGTTTGCGGAGCGTCCAGTGATCAATGGAATGACCAAGGCTCAGCGAAAGCGAGCCCAAGCTAAACAAGACCGTGAAGCTGCATTGGAACTGGCAGCTAAGTACCGCCAACGAAAAGTGGGAAAATTGGTTTCATTCGATGATGTTGCCGCTTTGCTTGACGGACCCTACAGTATATTCCACTCAAAGCCTATGGTTGACGCGCTTGTACTGCCCCAAGTTGATGTTACCGGGCCGCTGTCCGTCCGAGCCTTCAAGATCGACCAAGACATTCCGTTTATCAAGGGTATCCCTCCGCTACCCATTGTGACGGAGGCTATTCACGCTATCAAGACAAGGCAGGACATCGACCTTCTTGACTACTGGCCAGACTACGGCTACGCTACATTTGATCAGCTGGACGCTACGGCAAGCATCCTGGAGGCGCGTCAGCGATTCGCGTTGGTGATGCGCACTACAAAGTGGATTGACGAGGTGGAGTGGCGTGTTGCAGACCTTCGCGAGCCGTTCACGGACACGAGGGCAACCACAAAGGTAAGAAACAATTCACAGCATTTGAACTGAAGATGCACCAAAACTAACAAAGTATCTTGTGTATTGAAGAACGAGCACAAGACTTACGTCGAAACGCTCAATCTGAGCGTAAATCGCGTGCCCGGTGAATGTGTGAACGGACACCAACTGCTGGACTTCCGTGAGAATCTGTGGCTGCATACCACGTCCATCTTGGTGTCGCTGATGGCTTTGCGCGACGCTTACCCGGACGTCGTAGGCATCATCAGCCCCAGCTATCACGACTTTGCGTTGCCGGAGCAAAAACGCAGGACCGCGGCAGGATTCGGGTCCAGCGACCCTAAGAACAAGCGTGTCATTGGAATCATTCACATCGAGCGGCACTGGGTGGCGTTTTTAATCGACAGGACGGTCGCCAAGGGCACGAAGACGGCGACATGCTTTATGTTCGACCCTCTACAAAGTCGAAGCAACTACACCGTCATTGAAAAAGCGTGCGGATCGTGATTGAAGGGGTGCTTCAGCTAGGTGGCATGGTGAACTACGAGAAGGTGGAGTGGTGCACTCAGCAGGACAACAGTTCTTGTGGCGTGTGGTGCATCGCAGTTCTGGAGATGCTGCTTTGCGACGCTTCGTGGGACGACTGCATCTACAGGTTGCTGCCGTACCTGCGGCTGCGCTATCTGCAGAAAACACTTGCTTTCCTGGGCAAAGAGGCAGCTTGAGAGGGATGAGAGGGTGACTTCAACTTCAATATACATATCATTTGATTTCGGTATTAATTTGTTGTAACCGAAAATATCGTACCAAAATTAATTTCAACCATCACGAAAATCCGCGAAGTCCCACGATTCCAAAATCTAGAATCGTTCCGAAAAGACTGAATCTCAATGGTGTATTTTGCATACACAAAAACGAAGATAAAATAGTTTTCCCCTAGTTAATGGGTAACATTTCGACACGTGTTCTTGAGGAACAGCGGCGCACCCTAAATGGTCAAATAATGGCCGTCTAAATTCGGTGGTAGCAGCATCGTCCATCAATGGATGAGGGCGCTGGTCTCCGATCCAGGGCTAAGGCGTGCGCTCCTTAGCAATACAATGGCTATCAATTCGTCTGCCGTGGAGAGGGAAGTATCAGCGGCAGGACTAGCAGGCGCACGAGAAGACTGCACATGCAGCAGGAGCGAACTGCTGTTGTTGGCAGCATCCGAGAGAGCGAGAGAAGACTCGCACCTCCGAAGGCCGCAAGCTACGCACTGTATTGAATTTGATCAAAGTTGGCAGAGCCTGCCCGCCTTTTATACTACAGCAGACCTGGAGTGTGCTCAACTTCAAGCCTCGGGGTGCAGTGTTGTCGAGGTGAGCGTCACTCATCTTTGGTGCCCTCTCGGGCGTGCCTAGAATCGGATCGGATGAGCCCGGCCTCGTTTCAGAATGTGCTGCTGGTTGGATGCGAATTACCCGTGTGTGCTGCGCGGTCAAAGCTGAACTGCTCGTCCACTTCTTGCTCTTCTTTTGTGTACAGAATTTCCGCTCAGCGCGATTCAATATATATGTTTCTTCATCTCACTCATTTGCGTGGGCCGTTCATGAAAGACCTCAGTCTTGAAGAGTTCAATGGAGGCGCAGGTGGTCGGCGCATTCTGAAGCGAGCGCCTCAACCAGCCAACCTTAGTATTAATAACCAATGACGCATTGGGACTTGGCAACTGTCCTAGGAGATAGGACCAAATCGTGTTTTGGTGTGGTACACACCGGCCGTTTTTGTCCCAGGGAGCCCGAAAAAGGTCCAAAATGTCTTGATATTTGTATGGGGTGTTTTTGACCCCCCAAAGGTGTGTCTTATAAGGCGCATCGGGCAGGGAAATCGGCGCTAAAGATAGATCCAGCTGAGATCATACTGAAATCAAGTCAAAATTGTCCTAGGCTAGGACAAATCGGCAAAATTCGATGTTACGAGAGACAAGTTTTCAACGGCTTATATCTCGAGAAGGACAATGGAGGACGCTAAACCGATAAGACGACCAGGACAGCTAGGACGGGGGATTGTGCCCATGTAGTCACATGATCCTATTTGTTTCTAGTTATACGGAGCAAGGCGCCTAACTTTTGGTCCTTCCATTTGTCCTACGGACTGGGCTAAGTGGGGTTATGGTATTGCACCACGAGCGCTTCACATCCGAGCTTACCAGAGACAACGCAGGCGCGATACAAGAAGAGACTTAGGGCCATTCTAAAGTTCCCGGTCCCAAGTCCCGGGACGAAATAGATGGATTTGATTGGCTTTCAGAAAGCGGGCTAGGTTTATTTCCGAGCTCGTTTTGTCCCGGTCCCGCATCATTTTCGCGTGGTCGGGACGTGGGACTTTCGCTCTAGCTACTTCATTTCTTCACTAATGCGCGCCAAGTGTGCACCACTTTGTTACGTTTCGAAAGGGCTATCTGACCATGTTCTTCTTCCACCGTAGTTCGCGGTAGTTCCCGAGAGTTAGGGGCCTAAAAAATGCTTACAATTATCAAGTTTGACGGACGAGGGGTATCGTCCCGTTCGTCCCGGTCCCAGCTCCCGGGAACTTAAGAACGCGCCTTAATCATTGATATCCTGTACAAAGAAATGTCCAACGTACCACGCAACCACACAATACCTTCAGCATCTACAGGGTTCGCTAAATCGCACCTCAAATCAGAGTGATTACCTCTACTCCAACACATCTGCTCCTCCAACATCCACCGCTAACTCGCACCAACGCACCCTCAAAACCACCCGTGTCCCTGCTCTATCTTCAACCTCGCTTTTAGTATCGCAGCGACCGTCCATCCCTCTCATCTCCATCCGGACGTCAATCTGGGCCACAGTCTCCGAGTTGCCACGCCACGTACACGCAGCCATGCTGGGCGCCAGGAGCCGCCACGGCCGCAGCGCCAATGGGCCCGTCGGCGTCCTCTCCGACCTCTTCACGTCTCCTGCCACGCGCAGTCGCAGCCGCGCCGTCAACTTCTCGCTGCTGCTGCTCTTCCTCTGCTGCGCCGTGGTCTTGATGTGCACCACCTTCCTCTCCGGCTCCATCCCCAGTGGCGGCGGCCTCAGCGTGCGGCACTGGGCCGCCTCGACCGTGCACCAGCGCAAGCAGCAGACGGCCGTCGCGCAGTTCGACGCGTCCGTGTCCCGCCAGAGGGGCATCGTCATGTGCATGCACAACGCGGCGGTGCCCATGGGGCTGTCGCTCATCCGCGACCTGCGCTGCCTGGGCAACCAGGAGCTGGTTCAGGTGTACCACTGCTTCCCGGACGAGATGTCGGCCAAGAACCGCGAGATGCTGCTGCGCGCGGACGCGCGGGTGGAGGTCGTGGACGTGTGCTCGGACCTGGTGGGCCGCGGCGTGCTCAAGCGCGAGACAGCCGAGAAGTTCCGCACCTGGTGGCTCAAGCCACTGGCGCTGTACCACACCGACATTGCGGAGGTGATGCTCATGGACGTGGACGACGTGTTCCTGAAGGACCCAGCGGTGCTGAGGACCACGGAGGGCTACCAACGCACGGGCACGACCTTCTTCTACGACCGAGTGCTCTGGAGCAAGGAGTGGTTCAACCAGGACGTCAACAACTCGTCCTACTTGAAGACGCTGCTGAATGGGTTCAACTATACGGCCTTTGGACTGAATGGGGGCGTGCAGATCCCCGACTACCTGGAGCGCAGCTACGCGTACAAGCGGGAGGCGTCGCATGAAATGGACTCGTCGCTCGTGGTCGTGGACAAGTCGAGGTCGGGGAAGGCCATGGCCGTCATGTTCTGGCTCATTACAGTGCAGAGGTTCGAGAGGGAGTTCTCCTATGGAGACAAGGAGACGTTTTGGATCGCCTACGCCCTGGCCAAGCAGGAGTACTTCTTCTCCCCATGGGGCCCGAGTGTTATCGAGTCGTCCCGGAATCAGGATATGAAGAACCACCCGGACTCGTTATGCGGGAGTTTGGCGCACTTTATGCCAGTGAAAGACGACACGCCCGAGCTGCTGTACGTGAATGGTAAGGCGCTGTTGGACCCCTTCCCTGAGGGCCTTCACAACCGAGGGAAGGCGTCTGCCAACGTGCTATACAACCCCACGCCGTCTCATGTGACTCCGCGCCAAAACCGGCGACCGAACGGAGGAACCGCCACCAGCTACCACGGCGAGTTCCCGATGGAGTGCCTCATCGGCTTTGGCGCCACCCCATTGCCCAGCAACTTCGCGCCGCAGCTGCTGCGCAGACGCATGTTCTACCTGGGAATTCGTATGGACGTGCTTTCTGTACTGGATTCGTGCTACGCATTTGAGACCACGGCTTAGATTCCTATAAGTAGTTGACTCATGGAATGTCATGAATAATAGACTAACATTTTTTTAAAACGTTCAGAACGCCAGTGATGGATAAACTTCACAGAATGATAGATAACATCATGCAGATTAATACAAACGCCTTGCTCACCAACCTCCCATTCATTATCTTTTGCTTCCTACAGAGCACTACATACACATCGCAACAACTTACCGGTCATTGTCTACAGCTAGTTAGTGTCTTGGGCAACCAGTGCCGCCGTCTTCTTGCGAAGACGACGAGCCGGAGCCTTGCACTTCGTGTCGAGCGCAGTCGAGGGAGCTTCGGTCTGCGTCGACGTCGACGGCGGCTGGGTTGCCTGGGTCGTGGCAGCAGGGGCTTGGGTCTCCGGGGTCTCCTCGTTGTTACCCGTGGAGGAAGCTTCCGTGGACTGCTGGCGGGTGGATGGAGCTTCAGGTGTCTTGGCGGAATTCGAGGACGACTCCTGAGCCGTTGAGCCCTCGGTCGTTGGGGTTGACGCTCCGCTGCCCTTGAGAGGCACGCAGTTAACTGCACAAAGGAACACAAGAAATATGTAAGGAAGTGAGAAATTATCCAGCTTGTGGAGATAGAGGTAGGTACAAACTTACCGTATGCCTGCCACTGCGCGTTCTGGAACGCCAGCCAGTAGATGGTCAAGGTGCAGTCTCCGTTGCACGACGAGTATATCCGACGTCTGAGTAGATCCGACGTCTCCTCCCTTGAACTCGTCCTCGCAGTTGTCTCCGTGCAGAACCATCTTATCATCAAGGTAAATTTCACAGGGGCCGACGTGGGTGAAGCCTCCGCCGCCGTTGCCCAACCACTTGACCTTTCCGTCGCTTGGGATCGGCTGTGCGGCTCCATTATCCAGCGTGTTGCCGCACTTCTGGTCCTTGACCATGTCCAACACGACGTCCTTCACACCCATTTTCTTCTCCTCGGCCATGGTCTTGAACTTGCCGCATTGGTCACCACCCGATCCGATGTCCCAGTAGTTGTCTACCAGAACAACTCAACCAGGGTTGGGCGAGTCCTTCCAGCTCGGCTTGGGCTGTTCCAGGTATCCGTGGGCATCGGCACGCGACGTGAGCGCTGCGAGAGCAACGGCCGAGGATAGCGCGATTCCGGCAAACATCGGGTACTTTGGTGGAGGTTATCGGCTTGAGGAGTTGACTTAAAATCGGAAACTGAAAGCGTGCAAGACTCCGAAAAGCGAACGGCAATTCCCAAAGAACATTTTTTTAGCGCTTTTACGCTGTCCGAATACCGTTCAACTCGCGGTGGCTCCTACATCATACTGACGGCATGATAAAGTTTAACAATCGGGCGACTTGGTCATCGAGTTTCCGTTGTCGATAGGACCCCTGCTAGCTTTTGGGAATGCGAGTAATGCTTGGATTTGATTCGATTTGCACGAAAGCAGGGAGACAACTTTCGGTGAGAGTCCAACAGAAGGGTGGGACGCAGTCCAATAGAGCTCCAAGTTAGAGCTTCAACCGGGTTGGAGTCCAACCGTAAAAGCGTCAACGCTGCGTGGGGGTGTACATGATACTGTCGCAATCTTCCTGCTCTTTGTGAGCGGAAGATGTGATTTGGTGTAGTACTTAGGCAGAGGAAGTCCTTGGTTCTTGGTACACGCAAACTGTATTTGTCGTATTACGGCGAGCAGAAGTCGACTTTTATTCCTTGGGTTAGATTCCGGAATGAGCCCAGCGGTCATTCCTGCTGATAACGTTCTGCTAGCCGTACTATCTTAAACATGCATCTAGGCTAATTCTCGCTCTGTTCTTTTGGTCAGTGACTGGCTCTTGCTTACGAGCTCCTGCAGAAGCTCGTGACATTCCGTCCCCGGAGAGAAGTCCTCCGCGAGTTCGTTTGCTCGTGGTAGCGAGTGATCAGGTCGCCCACGAACTTCAAATTGGACAGAGGTTCCCATGTAGTCTTGTTTGTCCCGGTCGACTTGACCTCGTAGTAGTCCTTTGCCTTTGATGCGCTTGTGCCCGACGATGTCGTCAACTAACTCTCCTTCGGTACCATCTGGCAGCTGCACTTTGAATGGTTGTTGCTCTCGCGATGTGCTGCGCACGTAGGGCTTGAGATAGCTGGTGTGAAACACGGGGTGGAATTTGACACCTTTTGGCAGCTTCAACTCGTAGTAGTCATGCCCGAGCCGGCTGAGGATTGCGTATGGTCCAATCCAACGAGCCCCCAATTTCGCTTTAGTTGTCCCAGCATGATAATTCGCGAGGTTCGCGGTTGACAGCAGTACTTCCTCCCCTACCTCAAAAGATTGCACGGGTCTGTTGTCGTTGTAATAGTCGCTCATGCGGTCGGACGCCTGCTGCAGCTCTCTGCGCACGGTAGCTAGTCGATCCGCCTGTTGCTCGAGGAACGTCTTCCCCAGAGCACGGTGTTGTTGTTCTGCCCCTGTTGCACGAGGTGGCGCTAGCAGACTTGCCGGTGTCGACGGCAGATAACCCAAATCGGCTTCGAAGGGTGCCACACCAATCGACTGCTGGTATATGGAGTTGTAGGCGAACTCTGCCAGGGAGAGGTAGCAATCCCAATCGGTCGACGCGCCATTAGAAAATGCGCGCAAAAAGTTCTCGATAGTCTGATTGAGACGCTCAGTAACACCGTTCGCTTGGTGCCGAAAAGCGCTCGTCAATTTTTGTCGAGTCCCCAGCATGCTGCATAGAGTTGTCCACACAGTAGCAGTGAGCTTTGGGTCTCTGTCCGACAGAATCTCCATTGGAACACCATGCTGCACGAAAAGGCGGTCACGGTACAATTCAGCAACTTCACGCGCTGTAGCAGTACCTCTACATGCCACAAAATGCGCACGCTTCGTGAGCTGGTCAACGACCACGAGAACAGAGTCGAATTTGTCACGAGTCGCTGAAAGTGACACAATAAAGTCCATAGCCACGTGGGTCCAACGTCCTTGAGCGATAGGTTGGCTCTGCAACAATCCTGGCGGCTTCGGGTTCCTAGCTTTGGTTCGTTGGCACGTCTCGCAAGACTTCACATAGGCGCGAACACTCCTCACCATGTGCCGCCAATAGTAGTGAGCCTCCACCAATCGGACTGTCCGATCGATTCCGGGATGTCCGTACACCTCAACATCGTGAAACTCGAACAGAATTGCGTTTATTACCCCCCCCCCCCCGCACTCGCGGGGTTTTTCGGTCCCTGGCTTTGATCAATATACACCATGTTAAAGCTGTATACTACATGTTAAAAATATGCGTATTTGAGCTAACTATTGCCTTCCGTAAGTACGACACATTTCTATAACCTGCGGGAAACTGGTGACACAGACAGACGCACATATTGTCTAAGACGCCGTCGGATGGGTAGCTAAATTTCAACAGGGTGTATATACTACAACTTGCAGTGTCCTTTTTATTGATGGTGAACAAAAATCAAACACAAGGGCGGGTCTATGCTGGAAGTATCCTATGATTGCATCCCAACATACCAGACTATGCATGCCTTGAAAACAAAAAACCTGCTGCACCTAGCTAGCAATCAAGTGAACCGTATTCCCAACCGCGGGCTAATGGCATCTTAGCATTATTATAGCGCACACCCTGTTCGGTTTTATTGGATTGGCCACCTCCCCAGGCTGCATTCTCTCTGAGGGGTTCAAATTAGTACTTACATGCGCAATATATATCCCTTACATAGCAAAATAGAGTGTCTACTGTGTTCATTCTTTCCAGATTACCTCTTCTTATACATACCCTGGTATATCGGACGAGAGTCATCTTGCATTTGGAGCCACTATGCACAATGATGTATCATATCCTGTCTGATCTGATCGAAGTACCCAGGGCATAGTAGGGATAGCACTGTCTCATACGCATGATGGGGAGAGCGGTTCCTGTTAGCAATCTGTAAGCAATCAAATAATCAATCTATCCACCATTCTATGCAATTACTACTCGTTCTTTGTGCATATTTTCACCTACACCTGTGCATTTCACGTAGAAAAAGACGTGCTGTTCTTTTTCATAACATGTAGTCATATACAACGTATGAGTGCGGGGGGGGGGGGGGGGGGGGTAATTCGTCAATAGCAGGTACCACCAGCCGGGGTGCTTCATCGTTCGGCCCGCAGTACATCAACTTCTTCCCGTCAAGGGAATAGCGATCAACGAACTTGACTTTCTCCGTCGTAGCCAACGCATCTCCTTTCAACGCGCGTACAATCATCGCAGTGTGAGGATCATCCATATATCGCTCAGTGACTTCCTTAACCAGCAAAATCATGCCCTTCTTAACCCGCGAGTGCACCTCAAAAGCCGCGATAATGGCATTAAGCGACTGTTGTTCCTGAAAATCCGCGCGCCTCGAGATGCTGTCGGCGACAGTATTCGATGGGCCGGGTATGTACTTAAACGTGACTGCATACTCGCTCAGTTCATCATCGTACCAGCGTGCGATTCGTCGAGAGATACTCTTCTGCGAAAACACATTTTCGAGCGACTTGTGGTCGGTCTCCACCACAAACGGCTTGTCGAGCAAGTAAATGCGCCACACACGCAGCCCAAACAATATTGCAAGCAGCTCTTTCTCCCTAATCGAGTAGTTCATCTCTGCGCCCTTGTATTTATGACCTTGAAATGCTACTGGGCGCTCCACGACTTGGCCATCGTGCTCTTCCAACTGATAAAGAACACCTCCAATCGCGAAATCACTGGCGCCCATTCGCATAAAGAACGGCTTGTTGAAGTCGGCGATAGCAAGCACCGGAGTAGACGAAATTCGTCGTTTGAGTTTATCGAAGTGTACCAGTGAC